CCACCACTGCCCTCAGCCACACAGATAGTGCGAAGGTCACCAGGCTCTGAGACCAATCCGCTCCCAGCTTTCTGAGTGAAAAACAGATTATACATCTCTTCATTTGAAGAGACAGTGCTGTGTGTTTAACACTCCTGGTTCCTCTCATGCTTATCTGTGAGCACAAGGACTCTATGCCGCCTACACTACCCAAATAATGTTTAATACACTTGAAAACTTTATTTTTCTTTTTTTATTTGTGTGTGTGAGTGTGTGTATGTGAGTGTTTGTGTGTGTCTGTGTGTCTGTGTGCACGCATGCGCATGCATCTGTATGCCCTTGCCCTCCAAGACCAGAAGAGGGCACCAGATCCCCTGGTTACAAACAGTTGTGAACTGGCCAGCATGGTGCTGGGAACCAACCAAACTCAGGTCCCCCTGAAGAACAGAAAGTGCTCTTAACTCCTGAGCCATGTCTGCAACCCCAGAGTCATACAATTTTTTTTTCTGTTTGGGTTTTTGAGACAGGGTTTCTCTACATATCCCTGGCTGTCTGGAACTCGCTCCGTAGGCCAGGCTGGCCTCAAGCTCGCAGAGATCTGACTGCTTCTGCCTCCCAAGTGCTGGGATTAAAGGCATGTGCCATCACTGTCCAGCTGGATTCATACAATTTAAAGAAGTAAATTCTATAGTATGTGATCTTATCTCAATGAAACTTTTTAAATATGGCCAAACTTAGCAAAATTAATTATCAGTTAAATGCCTCTAAGATTCAACTTCACTAACCATTCATTCTCAGAAAATGAATCTTTGAGGGGGGGGCAGTGGGACTGGGGAGACAGCTCAGAGGTTAAAAGCACTGGCTGCTCTTACAGAGGATGGGGATTCAGTTCCCAGCTCCGGCATGACGACTCACAACCATCTTAATTCCAGTTCCAGGGATCTGATGCCCTCTTCTGGCCCCTGCAGGTACTGTATGTGGTGCATATGTGTGTGTGTGTGTAGGCAAAACTCAAATTTATAAAATAAAATTTAAAAACCTTAAACAAAAGTTTGCATCCGGGGCTGGAGAGATGGCTCAGAGGTTAAGAGCACTGGCTGTTCTACCAGAGGTCTTGAGTTCAATTCCCAGCAACCACATGGTGGCTCACAACCATCTATAATGAGATCTGCTGCCCTCTTCTGGCCTGTAGGCATACATGCAGACAGAGCACTGTATATGTAATAGCTAAATAAATTGTAAAAATAAATAAAATAAAACTGTTATTTAAAAAAAAAAAAAAAGTTTGCATCCTTTAAAAATTGGCTTTTGCATGTTACAGAAATGATTTGAAGTGATGCATTTGGGTGCTGGAGGGATGGCTCAGTAGTTAAGAGCACTGGCTACTCATAATGAGAACTAGGGTCTGGTTCCCAGCACCTACACAGTGGCTGACAACCATCTGTAACTCCAGCTCCAGGAGACCCAATGCCCTCTTCTGGCTTCAACAGGCACTAGGCATGCATGTGGTATATAGACATACATGCAGGCAGTAATAAAATAATAAAAATAATAAATAAACAATAAAAGTGTTATGTCCGGGTGTCAAATTAACAAAGGGTCCTCTTGTGGTGGTTAATTTTGATTATCTAATGGATTAGATTAGGAAACTCCAAGGGGTTGTAGAGAGATGGTTCAGTGGTTAAGAGCACTTATTGCTGCCGCAGAGGATCCCACTTTGGTTCCAGCACCCATTTAGGGCAGCTCACAACCATTTGTAACTCCAGTTTCAGGGGATCCCACACCATCTTCTGAACCTGAAACATGTGGCATACAGACACACACACACACACACACACACACACACACACACACACACAAGTAAATATAAAAATAAATATTTTTATAAAGCAACTCACAGACATTTCTAAGGCATACTTCTGGATGTTTCCAGAGTTGGCTAAATGACAAGGGTAGGCCCACTTTGACTCTGGGCAGCAGCAACCCATGGGGTAGAGTCTCAGAACAAAGAGGAAGCAGGAAGTCACTGAGCCCCGTCTTTACACCTGCCTGCTAGTTAACCATGACATGAACTAACTTCCTGCTCTGAGCTCCCTGCCGTGATGGACTGAACTCTCTGAATCCTTGAGCTGAAATAAAGCTTTCCTAAATTGTCCATGTCAGGTATTTTATCTCAGTGATAAAAAGAAATGAATGCAGGGCTGGAGAGATGGCTCAGTCAGGAAGGACACCTGCTCTGTGAGCAGAACCACCTGTGTTCAAATAACCCACACCCATATAAAAAGCCATGCATAGCTGCGTGTACCTGCAGCTCCAGCCCTGCAGAGCCTGGCGGACTCTGAGCCTGGTCGCCTAGCCTCATTTGAAAGAGCAAGGTTCTGGTTAAGGGAGACACCGTCTCAAGGCAGTAAGGCACAGTGATTGTGGTGGTTTAAAAGAGAATATTTCCCAAAGGCTCTGTATTTGAAAACTTGGTTTCCAGTCCACGGTGCTATTTGGGGAAGCTTAGGAGGCGTGGCCTTGCTGGTGGAAGTAGGTCACTAGGGGCAGGTGCTGAGGGCTTCAGGATTCCAGCCGCCTCTGGCTTGCCCTCGCTCTCACACTCTCCTTTCATTCTTCTTTCTTTCTTCCTTTTTTTTTTTTTTTCTTGAGACAGGTTTTGTGTGTGTATGTGTGTAGCCCTGGCTGTCCTAGAATTAGCTCTGTAGACCAGGCTGGCCTCGAACTCAAGAGAGCTGCCTGCTTCTGCCTCCTGAGTGCTGGGATTAAAGGCGTGTGCCACCACCACCACCACCACCACCACCACCCCAGTTCCCTTAATTTTTTGTAGATTATTTGTATTGTTTTATGTGTATGATTTATGTATGTGCACTATGCGCATGCCTGGTGCCCTTGCATGCCTGGTACCAGAAGAGGGCTTCAGATCCCCTGGAACTGGAGTTACAGGCTGTTGCAAGCCGCTCTATGGCTAACGAGAACTGAACTCAGGTCCTCTGCAAGAGCAACAAGCACTTTTTTTGTTTGTTTTAAGAGACAGGGTCTCTGTTTAGCCCTGGCTGCCCTGGAACTTGCTTTGTAGACCAGGCTGGCCTTGAACTCACAGAGATCTTCGTGCCTCTGCCTCCCAAGTGCTAGCAACAAGTACTCTTAACTGCTGAGTCAACTCTCCAGCCCTACTCTCTCTTTGTGCTTGTGGTTCAAGATAGGAGCTCTCAGCTTGCTGCTCTTCTGCCAGTGGCTGCCTGCTGCCAAGCCTCCCTGCCGTGATGGCGATGGAACCATAATCCCAAATAACCCCCCCCCCTTTTTTCTCTATAACTTGTCCTGGTCATGGTGTTTTGTCACAGCAAGAGAACAGTAACTAAGACAGAAGTTGGTACCAGGATTGGGGTGTCGCTGCGACCAACGTGAACATGTTGTTTTCTGGAGGAATATGGGAAACTTTGGGACTTGGAACTAGAAAATTGTGAGCCTGTTCTATTGGCCAGTGCCAGGAACATGAAAATCAGAGGAGCTGAGAAGTGATGTTGTCCAACATTAAAGTCTTCATTGGCTGTTAGAAAAAATTAAGACGTGCAATTATGAATGTGTGTGTGTGTGTGTGTGTGCGTGTGTGCATGTGTAGAGGAACTTGAGAAGGACTTCTGACATGTTGATTTCTCCCCTCCCTTTACTTTTAATATTTATTTATTTAGTTAGTTAGTTTTTTCAAGACAGGCTTTTGGTTTTTTTGTTTTTGGTTTTTCGAGACAGGGTTTCTCTGTGTAGTTTTGGTGCCTGTCCTGGATCTCCCTCTATAGACCAGGCTGAACTGAAACTCACAGAGATCCACCTGCCTCTGCCTCCTGAGTGCTAGGATTAAAGGGTTTGTGTGTGTGTGTGTGTGTGTGTGTGTGTGTGTGTGTGTGTGTGTATGTGTAACAGCTCTGGCTGTCCTGGAACTCGATTTGTAGACCAGACTGGCCTTGAATTTACAGAGACCCACCTGCCTCTACCATCCCCAGCTCTCTTTACTAAAAAATATTGTGTAAGGGCTGGAGAGATAGCTTAGCAGTTAAGAGCACTGGCTTTTCTTACAGAAGGCCTAGTTCACTTTCCAGCACCCTCATGATGGCTCACAGCTGTCTACAACTCCAGGTCCGGGGGATCCAACACCCTCTTCTGACCTCTGGGTGGGTAAGAGATGCATAGACATACATGCAAGCAAAGCACCCACCCACATACTTAAAAAAATGTGTGTATGTGTGCAAATATGTGTGGGATCATGTATGTGCACAGTGTGCATGTGTGTGTGTTGGGGGGCCCTGACCTAAAAGTCAGTTGTCTTCCGTGATCGCCCACCATTTTATTCTTTGAGGGTAGTCTAGGGAGCCAGCTTGCCCCACCACCTTGCACATGCAGGGATTACCATCTCTGCCCCTCCGCTCTTGCATGAGTTCTATGGATCCAAACACGCAAGCGCCTTATTCCCTCAACTATCAACGTCGAATTCACTTCTACCAGAGGACAACTTTGAACTTCTGATCTTCCTGCTTCCACCTCTCAAGAGCCGCACGCATCCCCAGGCATGCATTCCCACATCCAACTACAACTACAAGCGGTGCTGCGTCAGAAACCCAGGCGAAGTGCATGCCAGGCAAGCCCTCTACCAACTGAACCTCACCCTCAGAAATTCTGTTTTATGAACTCCCAAAGGCAAGGAAACACCGAGCTGTACGCCGGCTTCTCCAAGCGGTACTTACTGAGCCACACGGTCATTTCCATTAAGGACTCAGTACTGAACAAGACCACACCCGGGGACTGGATCCAGCTCACCAAACAACTGCGCCGCGGTTAATGACAGGGAGCGAGAGACATTGACAAGTGTATTACGTAGTCAGAAACCGAGGCCCAGGGACTGGCGGCCGGCGCGCTCCCGGGCTGCCCTGGCGCTCAGCGCAGGGGTTTGCGGGGCCTGAAAGCCGCCCCGCGTCACGTGATCCCGGGGCGGAACCAGCGCGGCCGGGCTCCTCCGGAACGTGCACGCTCTCGGTTGTGCTTCCCGCCGGAGGCTTTTGCGGAGCTCCCCGGGTCCCCGGACGGGGAGGGGGGGCAGTGGCGGCAGCTGGGGCTGCAGATCAGCCCGGGGGTCCGGAAGTCAACACCATGTCGAGTCTGCACAAGAGCCGGTAAGGAGGAGACCGGAGGGCAGGACTGAGCCTAGACCGCTCCGGCCGGGCCGCGCCTTCTCCCCGACCGAGCTGCTCAGCGCATGTGCGGCCAAGAGCAGCCCCCACCCCCGGCGGAGGGTCCCCAGCGCCCACTTTACAACATCATTGCCTGTGTGGCGGGGGGTGGGGGGAAGCAGAGATGATTCTCTACATTGCTGTCACCTTTCTCTCTCTCACTCTGGACCCCTTACCCTGGTGTCTCCCTCTTTCAGACCTATTACCCTCCCCACTTCCTGGCTCCAGGCTACACCCCCACCCCCCGAAATACTCCTGTCACTGTGCTCCTTGCTTATGAGAAACACGAGAGAGAACCCGAGGTCTCCAGTCTGGCCTCTTAATTCCCCCTCCCCGCCAAGGCTACATCTTGCCGCGTCGGCTAAATTTTGCTCACTCCAGGACTAATTTTTAGCCTTTTGTCCTTGCCTGAGGGCAGGCCCAAGAAGTCTGTGCCCCCTCCCCCTTCCCCAGCCAAGTGGTGGGGAGACTGTTCAGGTCCGTTGTCTGTAGATCAAATTACTCCTGGTTGCGAAGCTTGGTTGTGTGAATTCAGGCAGTGGTGTGCTGTGGGCTGGGCTTGCCCACAGCAAGTGCCCAGGAAATGCCAGCTCACTAACAGTGACTTGGTGTTAAGGTCTCATTTCAAACCGTTTGACTAGAACACCCCCCCCACCCCTGCTCTTCATTGGCATTTCGGACTTTAGAGGAAGAAACTTGTATTGCCCACTTCCCTAAGCTAGGAGTTGGAGACTGTTGGGTAAGGGATCTGTGGGCTGCAAGATTGGTCATTAAGCCTGTTACCTTGGGGTTTCCTCTTCTGCCCTTGAAGAATTGCAGATTTCCAGGATGTCCTGAAGGAGCCCTCCATTGTGCTGGAAAAGCTTCGAGAGCTGAGCTTTAGTGGTAAGGCACAATTTTCCTTCCAGGTTCCCTGGAATAGCAGGGCTGAGAGGGAGGAGAAGCACCTAGACCATACCCAAGGAGGCCAGGCTGACTTCACAGAGCTGCTTGGAGGTTGTAGGAGTGGTAACCACCCTTCGGCCTTAGATAGGAGGCACAAGGTTCCCCAGATTGCCTGAAGTAGCCTGAAGATTGAAATGGGGTTGACCTTTTGAGCCTAGGAGAGGCATTTGTCATTTCTCAGCTAGTTTCCTGAGTTTCAGAAGTCGCAGGGTGGTTCCCGGTTCCTCTGCCTGGCTTTGGATCAGAGCTGAGAGTGACCTTTGGTTAATGCTAAAACTCAAGCCCCAGAACAGCAGCTTTAAGGAGTTGAACATCAGCCATGTTTGACTTTGCCCTTCTCACATGGTTAATGTTCCAGCACAGATAGCTGGCTCTTTATCCTGTCTGTAAAAACACCCCAAGGTGTTTGAATAGCTCCTTGTGGCACTGCTCTGCCCAGTAACTCGGCCAGGAAGGAGTTCATATTGCCTGGGTCATGCAGATTCTGAGGTAGGGGCATTGGCTCAGGGACACCGTCGTCAGAGCTGTTCTTGGGAGGTTGGTTCCTGGCGGCACTGCAGAAGTTGACCTTCCCATTCTGGAGTGCTGTGGAGGCCCCAGAGGGGAGGCCGTCTGTGGTGATCGCACAGAGCTTGGGCTGCTCATTACGCCTGTGTCCTAATCCTTGGTTCTGTCTACAGATAAGTTCCTTTATCTGTAAGTGAGGATGAGGGAGCTAATCTTCCATTCTTACTGGAACTAAAATGGGAATTAAGTGAAATCGTGGCTGTCTGGCACAGAGCTCTTAACCTGACAGTCTGATTTGAGTTTCACAAATGTGGAATGGCATTTGTGTTCTGTGTCCTGTGCTAGGCAAGGAGCATCCACAAACATGCTTCTTGTCTGTCTGAGGCCTCTCCATCTGTGGGAGTTACACACATTAAGTTCATGCTCAAGTTTTTAGATAATTCTGTTTGTGATGGGTGTTATAGACAGCCACAGAGCCATTGTGTATGAGCAGAGATACTGATGCCCAGCGTAGTGGTTCAAACTTTTAATCCCAGAACAGGAGGCAGAGGCAGGTGGATCTATGTGAGTTCAAGGCCAGACTGGTCTACGTAGTGAGTTCCGTCACAGCCAGAGTTACATCGTGAGACCCTGTCTCAAAAAGTAAAATGAAAATTAGAGAGCCTGAGGCTGGGCATATCATTCGGTTCATGGAGTGTTTGCCTAGCATGAACAGAGCCCCATCTGTAAACTAGACATGGTGGCTGAATACACCTATAAATTCTGCCACTCAGGAGGAGGAGGCAGGAGGAGCAGCAGTTCCTCCTTGGCTCCATAGTAAATTTGAGGCCAACCTGGGCTACATGAGCCTCTGCTTCCTCCCCGAAAAGAAGAGCCTAACTTTGAGTAGAGTTGGTAGTTGATAATGACCTTTTTGAAGAAGAAAGTATCAAAGATGAGAAGGTTCAAAGAACATTCCAGACAGATGAGGTTCTGGGCTGGGGGACAGGGCTGTAGACAGAAATTAGAGTTAGCATCCAGTTTAGACATTTCTTTGGTTGAGAATGGTTCCCCAAGTGCTTCCTGCCTACTCCACTCCCTGCCAACTGGCTCCAAGGTGTAGGGCTGGGGGGGTTCTGGAACTCTGGCTTTGGGTGACCTTTGCCTGCTGTGTCCACAGGCATCCCCTGTGAGGGCGGACTTCGGTGCCTCTGCTGGAAGGTGGGTGTGCCTGGGGTGGGGCTTCTTGGTTTTGGGGTCCCCTGGGTCTTGCATGGACCTCCTCCCGGCCCCTCCTCTCTGTTTCTTTCCTTGCTTGTCTGAGGAAGTCTTTCTGGAAGTTGTGGGGTTTTGTGTTCTCTTGGTATCCTCTCCAGGATTCCTTTGGGGATGGAACACTTCATAATGCCAGCAAAGATGTCCACTTCCCGGTGCCAGTGCGCATTGGAAGTGACGCTGGTTGGGACAAAACCGAGGCTGGCTCCCCCTGAAGCCACTAGCTGAGGTGGCGAGCAGCATCTGTTCCTGGTTACCAGCCCTTCAATGCCATGTTCTCTTCTCATTAGAAGAGTCTGTGAGGAAAGCAGAGGGGATGGAGCTGGGGCTAGGAGGAGGGGGCCGCTCTTCAGGCCGGAGCTCCTGGTCGCAGCCATCTTGCCTGTTCCTGGCTTCATGAAGCCTTTCTTTGGAGGCCTGTGTGCCTCCACTGCTGTCTAGGACAGGGGCAGGGATGTTGCAAGAGCTGTACTGTTCTCTGTGCAGATCCTCCTGAACTACCTCCCTTTGGAGAGAGCCTCGTGGACTTCCGTCCTGGCCAAGCAGAGGTGAGACCTGTGAGGGGGGGCTTTCGCCTCACACAGAGCCTGTCCTGCTTCCTGTGGGTGCTTCTCTGGACTCATCCTTCTCTTCACTCCTGCAGGGGCCTCTATTCTCAGTTCCTGAGAGAAATGATTATCCAGCCTGGCATTGCCAAGGCCAACCTGGGTGTATCCAGGGAGGATGTGACCTTTGAGGACCATGTAAGTAAGATTGGCGTCAGGGGATGAGTATGGATATGGGGAGGGGAGAGGCTTGGACCAGGCAAGGGCCCCTTGCTGGAGGACGGGTGGGGCCTAGCCTGCATTCCCGTCAGTTCCTCCCTCTTCATCAGGTTTCCAGCCCTTGGAAACAGTGGTGTCTCCCTGCTTATTCTAGGCTCAAGTTAACCACAGGAGCCCTAGGCCCAGTTAGTAACATAAGTGAGAACCATTGTCCCGAGGGTGCTGTGGGAGTCGTCCTGTACCAGGAGCTCTTTGGGCATGGTCTCTGGAACCCACACCCCAGTACTTTTGTTTTGATTTTAGTAAAAAGTTAATTAAGCTGGGTGGTGGTGGCACACGCCTTTAATCCCAGCTCTTGGAGGCAGTGAACTCTGTGAGTTCCAGGACAGCCAGAGCTGTTACGCAGAGAAACAACTCAAAAAACCAAACCCAAACAAACCAAACAAAAATACAATAAAAGCATTTTTTTAGCTTCATTTGTTTTATGTGTATGAACAGTTTGCTTATCTGTATGTGTGTGCACTACTGCATGCACTCTTGCTCGGAAGAGGGTGCCATCCCATGGAATGGAGTTTGGATGGTTGTGAGCCACCATGTGGTGCTGGGAACTGAGGTCCTTTGTTACGAGTAGTACATGCTCCACGCTGGGAGGATGCACGATTTTATTTTTAGCACTCAGGAAGCAGAGGCAGGTGGATCTCTGAGTTCCAGGCCAGCCTGGTCTACATAGTGAGTTCCAGGACAGCCAGGCCTATATTAAGAGATCTTGTCTCCAAAAATCTAAATAAATAAATAAAAGAGTATTACATGCTTTTAACCACTGGTCTCTCTCCAGTCCCCCATTGTTTGCTTTTTCAGATAGAGTCCTGGGGCTAGTGGTTAAGAGCACTGACTGCTCCTCCACAGGACCTGGGTTCAATTCCCAGCACCCACATGGCAGCTTACAACTGTCTGTAACTCCAGCTCCAGGGTATCCAACACCCTCACACAGACATACATGCAGGCAAAACACCAATGTACATGAAATAAATGTAAATAAGTAAAAAAAAAAGACAGTCTTGCTGGGTGGTGGTGGTGGTGCACATTCCTTTAATCCCAGCACTTGGGAGGCAGAGGCAGGTGGATCTCTGGGGCTTGTGGCCAGTCTGGTCTACATAGTTGAGTTCCAGGACAGCCAGGGCTACACAGAGAAACCCTGTCTCGAAAAAGAGATAGAGTCTTGTATATTTCATGCTGGCCTGGACTCAGCTTATAGCCAAGAGTGACCCTGAACCTAAAAACATTTTAAAAATTGATTATTAGTATGTCTGTGGGTGTCAGTGAGGGTTTATGTCATGGCGGACGAGAGGTGAAAGGATCATTTGTGTCGGTTCCTGCCCCACCCCCACCTGTGTTGGGGACTGAACTTAGTTCTACACTCGTGCAGCAAACACCTTTGCCCACTAAGCCATTTTGCAGGCTCAGAACGGATTTGTTTGTTTGTTTTTTTGAGGCAGGATCTTGCTATATAGCCTAGGCTTGTCTCAAACTTGGAATCTTCCTGCTTCAGCCCTCCCAAGATCTGGGATTTATCCCTGGCTAAATGTTCATTTATTTGCCTTTTTATGGGCTTGGAGGTTGAGCAGAGGATCTAAACGTGGTAGGCAATCACTCTGCCACTGCACTGTACGTCTCCCCTCACCCTGGGTTCTTGAGGAAGGTACTGGGATTGTATAGTTGAAGAAAGAACTGGGCAGAGGTAAGGATGAAATAAGTGCCAGTCCGAGGCCTGGAGAAAGTCCTGTTTTCCTCTTCCTATGCTGAACTCCTTCATGTATACTTGACAGGGCGGGAAGTGTAGCTGGGCTGGCCCCAGACCCATCCTCCCAGACAGGAGTTGACTACCTAAAGCCCTGGTAGATAATGAAATGACATTCATTCGTTCACCCTTTGCACAGCGCTCAGTGACTGATTGCTACATGCACACTTCTGGCTGGGGCGCTGCCTAGAACACTGTCTGCCATACAGAGCAGGCTGCAAGGCTCTCTGCCGGCTGTGTAGTGTGGAAGTGCCTCTAGAGAACCTGGGAGGCTTTGGGAAGCCTGTGCCTGCTGGGTGGACTGAGCCTGTCTCAACCAGAGCTGGGTCTGTAGGCCTTTGATATGAGACTGCCGAGCTGCAGCCCTGCCTGGTCCTTGCACACAGCATCTGCTTCTCTCTTCACAGCCCCTCAACCCAAACCCTGATAGCAGGTGGAACACGTATTTTAAGGACAACGAGGTGCTACTGCAGATTGACAAAGATGTCCGGTAAGAGGCTCCCATGGGCTTTCTGCTGCAGGGTGGCCTTGAGAGGGTTTGTACCTGCAGTGGAGTACCAGAGGGCACTAGAGCCTGTATGTCTGGTTTCAGTGACAGCTTCACGAATTGACCTTGGGCAGGCGACTCGGGCTCTCTGAACTTATCTGGAAGCAGAAGTGAGGTGGCTCAGGTTAAGGGCATGTGCAGTATGGGTCTTCACATATAATTTGAATTGTTGGGCTGGCTTTAGCATGCTACAGAGGCCTTTGAAATGCTCAGTTGCCTTTAGAGAAGGGTCCTGGGAGCTGATCCCCCTTCACTTGGAGCCGCCTGACTGAGAGTCCTCTCTAGCACCCACTCCTTGTTTAGACAGGAGAGTCATGCACAGAGACTCAGTGGCATTCCCAAGGAATCCTGGGGCCAATTCTGCCTGCAACAGCACAGGCCAGCTGCACCCATGTGAGGAGGGCTGGAGGTTTACCTGAGGAGACAGACACTCAGCCTGTCAACACGTAGGCAATTCAAAGGTTGCACTGCTGTGAGGGAGGAGAAGCTGGTGTTCTGAGGGAATAGGGGCCCTTTTAGAGGTGACTCAGCATGAGATGCCAGACGAGAAGAGGATGGGAGGCATGGGGCTGTGTGGAAGAGCTTCCTAGCCTGAGGAACTGATGTAGGAGTGCCCCGAGGCTTGGGATAAAGTCTACAGGAAGATCCTTACCCCCTGAGTGCTGCATCTCTGCCCAGATCCCTTGCTAGGTGCCCTCTGGATGCCCGAATCGGGTGGTACAGCAGGCGCTTGGTGCCTTTCTTCTCAGACTAGCATTGGAGCAGCCCTACCCATGAGATGCTGTACTGGTCAGGTTTAGGTGATGAGTCTCATCCTGCAGTAGTTTGGGGGAGGGATTAGGGGCTCAGGCTCTCTCTCCCATTGGTGACTGCAGTAGCTTGTCAGTGTTTCCAGAGGGCCAGCGTGCAGTGTGCTGCGCCTAGGAGGTCTGAGGAGTGTACATGAGTGCAGTGCCCTGTCATACTCCGGATGCCCCCTGCTTGCTGTTCCTTGAGCATCTCTTCATGTCAGCAGAAGGTGTTCTGTTGTACTTAACCAAACCTTTCCTGTGGAAGATGGCCATGTTTAATCCTTGTGCATATCCATGCATCTACAGACGGATGCATGTAAATGTATGTGTGTGTATAAAATGTTTTTGCTGGGGATTGAACTCAGGACTTGACTCCTTATAAATATCAGACATACTTATATACATGTATATATAGTGCGTATTAGGCAAGTGTTCTACCACCAAGCTGTAGCCTTAGCTTCTACACAAGTGCTTTTGACGTGGAGAGGTGTTTGTGGTTTACGATAATTAGGCTTTATGACCATAAAGACCCTTAAAAAATGTACACATGTGTGTACCTCTTCACAAACACATATGTATATGTAATTTCTACTGTGTTTTTAAAAACAGTGTTTTGGGGCTTAAAATACTATTACTTTAGTTTTTGAAACAAAGTTTTACACTAGTCAAGGCTGCTCAGGAGCTCACTCTGTAGCTGAAGCTGGCCTTGAACTCAGGGCAATCCTCCTGCCTCAGGCCTTCCAAGTACTTGATGACAGGTGTGAGTCGTCATACCCAGCTGAACTGTTACAAACAAGCAGACAGTTGGAGAGTAGCATGGTAGAGCACTTGTCTAGCATGGACCTAGGTTAGTCCCAGCACTGTCATTGTTATCAATCAATCACTGTCAATGATAACCTTCCTTCCATTCCAATAGGAGGCTGTGCCCAGATATATCCTTCTTCCAAAGAGCCACTGAGTACCCCTGCCTCCTCATCCTGGACCCACAGAATGAGTTCGAGACCCTTCGTAAGCGGGTGGAGCAGACAACATTGAAATCTCAGACGGTGGCCCGGAACCGGAGCGGGGTCACAAATGTAAGAACCAGCTGGGGACCTGGGGTCTTTTTCTTTTTAAGATTTATTTATTTTGTTCAAGTGTTTGCCTGCATGTGCATATGTGCTCCATGTACATGTTCGGTGCCTATGGAGGTCAAAAAAAGGCATTGGATCCCCTGGAACTGGAGTCAGAAGTAATTGTGAGTGCTAGGAATCGAACTCTGGTCCTCTGCAAGAGCAAGTGCTCTTAACTGCTGAGCCTTCACTCCAGCCTCCTGGGGTCCTTTCTTTTTTAAAGATTTATTTATTTATCTATTTATTTATTTTATGTATATGAGTGCTCTATTTGCATGTATGCCTGCACACCAGAAGAGGGCATCAGATCCCATTATAGATGGTTGTGAGCCACCAGGTGGTTACTGGGAATTGAACTCAGGTCCTTTGGAAGAGCAGCCAGTGTTCTTAACATCTGAGTCATCTCTCAAGCCCCTGGGGTCTTTTCTTTCTTTTCTTTTCTTTTTTTTTTTTGGTTTTTTGAGACAGGGTTTCTCTGTGTAGCTTTGTGCCTTTCCTGGAACTCACTGTGTAGACCAGGCTGGCCTCGAACTCACAGAGATCTACCTTTCTCTGCCTCTCAAGTGCTGGGATTAAAGGCGTGCGCCACCACCACCCGGCTCCTGGAGTCTTTTCTTAACAGACTGTCCCCTGCATGTGTCCTTTGGTCCACTGGCCCCAGCGCACTGGGTGCTTGCTGAAGGTTGGTGTCAGGGCCTTTCTGTGGTTCCAGCAGGTTATACTAGCTGCAGGGTGAGGACGGCACTCTCCCCGTGTTCAGGCTCTGCCTCAGGTGAAGTGGAGATGGTTCTGAGAGAGAAGGCCTGGGTGTGAAGAGAGCAGTACTGGGGTGGTTAGCAGCCCATCCAGGTCTGGATATCAGCTTCAGCTGACCTGTTTGGCAGTCAGGGAAGGATGGAGAAGAAACAGCATTCCAAGTGTTGTGGGGAGCATGTGCCAAAGTCTTCATATGTGAGTGAATGCCAGTGCTCAGGAAATAGGGGTCAGGCTAGTGACTCTGCTGCAGAAGACAAAAGCCCACCTCAGGAGCCACTGTGTCCCCCCTCCCACAGGCCATCTAGCAATGTCCCTGTGACCCACTGCAGACAGGGATCATGAAGCCACTGGTCACTGCCATGTGTGCTACATACGTGCCACCATGTCTTCCTGAACACCCTGGAGGAAATCACCCAGCTGTTTCTCAGTCCCAGGGCTGATGGTCAGTTTTGGATTTGTGTTGACTGTTGATACTTATTTACCATATAAATGTAATTTATCTTTTTTTTTTTTTTTTAAACTTTGTTATTGTACAAGGTTCAAAATGGATAGGACAGTATGGATGTAGCAGGCAGACACTGCCCTGATGAACATCATGTGCCAGTTCTGATGGCCATGAATGTACCAAAGGTGCCGCTACTCTGCATCATGGTTTTCCCAATGCTGCCCATCATTTCCCGACCCACATTCCAATCCCAAGATAGGAGAAGGTGCCAAACAGCGCCCAGCCACCATGCCCATGGCACAACAAAGCCCATCTTTACCTGGTGAAAGCAGCTGGGCTGGGACTGCCTGTAGGGACCCACGACCACTGGCATCCCATTCGCCGCTTCATGGTCTCACTCCGAAAGTCTAATTTATCATTTGTATTGTGGAAAAATAAATGAAGGCCCCATGGCTAGAAGCCGTGAGACAGCAGAGGGGAATGCTGGAGGTGCTGGAATAGCTGGTGGTGGGAGGTCAGACGGGGCCTCTGTTCCGAGGTCTGGGGGGCTCTTGGAGTATTCTGAGCAGGCAGCAACTTTTGGTTCAGGTGGCCTTGGGCATGGAAGGGATATCAAAAGAGATAGCTGCATTTATCTAGGGCAGAATTTGCTGTCTGGTTAGAGCAGGGACAGATCTGGGACACACAGAAAGGGTAAACTCTGAGTGTTGTTGAGCTCCAGGATCTAGCAGACCCCACCATTATGGCAGCTGCTATGTCCAAAAAAGATGTATGACCTTATTTCTCCATTTAGACCCACTGCTTTGGGACCTGTAGTGAGTAGTGACTTGTTCCCACATGTCACTGGCTTTCATATCGGCAGGAAAGCTCTCCTGTGCAGCCTCCCCAGCAGGGAATGGAGGGTTGTACAAATTTCTTTTCCCAGAGTTGCTAACTAGTCAAGATGCTGATGGGGCAGTGAGGACAGATGCTGTCACTCCTGGTCCCATGTACCTGCCTGGGGTTAGTGTCAGCATTTAGGCATCTGTACTGGCCTGCCCTTAGGGTCCTGACAGGATATATCCTCAGCTGTAGCCACTAAGAGCACCCACTGTGTGCATTTCCTGTTTCCTTATAAAAGGAAGGCTTTACCTATCCTCCCCCCCATCGATCTCTTCACCTTCTCTGCCCCCTCCTCTGCCCTTTCTCTCTCCTCCCCTCTATAAACCTCCCATGTGGGTCCTGTTGTGACTCCTTCGAGCCAGTTTTAAAATACAACAGTTAGGGTCCACCAGAGTTCTTGGGCATAGCCCAGGCTTGGTGAAGGAACTGTGGCTCCGTTTTGTGCATCCCTCTTGGCGTGGACGCTGATTGCCTGGATGAAGGCCCAACCTTGTTAATCCTTTCATAGTATTGTCTGTGCGGGTCATGCTGTACCCATTTTACCTTTGGATCTGGTCCTGAAGCTCCATCCCTAGAATTCTGGACCTGTAGTGGGGTCAGTTAAGTCAATCTGTGTGACTCTGGGCATGATCGCTCCTGGCCTGCCTGGCTGAGGAACAGTTAGAGGAAATGATGTCATGGAAAGCAGGTTCTTGGAAAGCTGGAAGCACTTCTTGGGAGAAAGCCTGCTCCCGCAGCTTGGCACACAGGCTCTGGGCTAGCCAGTCCAGGTTCAAGTCTGTGTGGGCCTGTTTCCTCGTCTTGAACTCTTCAGAGGTGGTGCTGTGGCTCAAAGCCTGGAGTCTGAGGCAGGAGGATCAGCTCCAGGCCATCCTCAGCTAGATGATGAGTTGGAAGTCCAGTCTGAACCATGTTAAGTTCTGTTGAAAAAAGAAAGTGGCCTTGAGAGAAGATGGAGGAGTATGGTCTGCTCCTGGGCTGCGTGTGTTTCTGGCATATACATGTATGACGGGTATGTAGAAATAGCCTGGGCTCCCTGGACTCCTAAGACAGCCTTATAAAGCTCTGTACCCACTTGCTGGAGCAGGCTGATCCCCTAAATTTCCTGGGGTTCGGCAGAGCCGCTGATGTTGTGGACCCTTTTTCTTGTTGTGAACTTGTTGGTTTTATGCAGTCCAGGTTGGCCTAGAACTCTATGTAGCTGAGGCTGGCATTGAACCCCTCATCCTCTCAATTCTACCTGCAAGTGCTGGGATTTACAGGCCTGCACCACCACATGCAGCCAAGACTTTATTTTCAGTTGAAGTATACATACTTAAAAATGCACACATGGGCTGGAGAGATGGCTTAGAGGTTAAAGAGCATTAACTGTTCTTCTGGAGGTCCTGAGTTCAATTCCCAGCACCCACATGGTGGCTCACAACCGTCTATAATGAGATCTGATGCCCTCTTCTGGCATGCAGGCATACATGCAGGCAGAACACTGTATACATAATAAATGAATACATCTTTTTTTTAAAAAATACACACATTTTATGTATATAGCTAGATTTGTTTTTCTTTTTTTTCCTTTTTTTTAAACAATTTTTTTTTTAAGATTTATTTATTTATGGCCGGGTTGTGGTGGTGCACGCTTTTAATTCCAGCACTTGGGAGGCAGAGCCAGGCAGATCTCTGTGAGATTGAGGCCAGCCTGGTCTCCAGAGCGAGATCTAGGACAGGCACCAAAACTACACAGAGAAACACTGTCTTGAAAAAATTAAAAAAAAAAAATGTATTTATTTATTTATTTATTTAGTATGTATACAGTGTTGTGCCTGCAGGCCAGAATAGGGCACCAGATCTCATTACAGATGGTTGTGAGCCACCATGTGGGTGCTGGGAATTGAACCCAGGTCCTCTGGAAGAACAGCCAGTGCTTTTAACTTCTGAGCCATCTCTCCAGCCCCAGATTTGTTTTTCTAATGGATGCACCTGTGTAACCACCAGTCAAGATGAAGATTTCTCACTGTGCAGGAGGCCCATTCCCTCTCCCTGTCAGTTCCTTTACCACAGAATTTACCTTTGTTTTGTTGTTGTGTTTGGTTGGTTTTGCTTTGTTTCCTTTGTTTTTTTGTTTTTTTTTTTTTTTGGTTTTTCGAGACAGGGTTTCTCTGTGTAGCTTTGCGCCTTTCCTGGAACTCGCTTTGGGGACCAGGCTGGCCTCGAACTCACTTGTTTTTGTTTTTAAAGACAGGGTCTCACTCTGTAGACTAGGCTGGCCTCGAACTCACAGAGATCTGCTTGTGTCTGCCTCTTAGCGCTGGAATTAAAGACATGTGCCACCGCCGCCCTGCTGTGACCTGTCTTTAACCTAGTTGTCACTTCAGTGTCTTCCTGCAGCCTCGACCTGCCTCTTCTTGTGGCTGACAGGTTCCTCCAGGCCCTGTCTTGCCCAGAAGCTAGGATGTTAAGTCAAGTTGGCCTTCATGGGGACATTTGACCTGCTAACAGGCTCTTCTCTTCTCCCTAGATGAGCTCCCCACACAAGAGCAGCACACCGCCGGCCCTGAACGAGTATGAGGTTCTGCCCAATGGCTGTGAAGCCCACTGGGAGGTGGTAGAGCGGATCCTGTTCATCTATGCCAAGCTCAACCCTGGCATCGCTTATGTGCAGGGCATGAATGAGATCGTGGGCCCCCTGTACTATACTTTTGCCACTGACCCCAACAGCGAGTGGAAAGGTAGACAGGCTCTTAGCCTCCTGAATTTCCCACTGCTGCCCCCTAGAGAAAGAGAATGGGACTAGCCAGGCTGATGGGCCGTCTGGGGCTCCAGAGCCTCATCTACTTTCAGATACCTATGCTCATGTCAGAGCAGGTGCTGGTCTGGATTGTATCTAAGACCCTTCGCAGCTCTGCCTTCTAGAATACTGCTGTTCACTGATCTGTTGGTATTTGTAACTTTCTGTAGAATAGACGGTCACAAGCAGCTGAAAGATGTGACCCATTGGCATAGTGTATGATAAACTGCTGAGTGGACTGTGGGCCTAGAAGGTGAGGCAGAAGTGGTGGTACCCTTAGAGGTGGACAGGGGCCAAGGTGAGGGACCCATTCCAGCCTCCACAGGTGCAGCTGGGTGACACATAGAAGTGGGGTGTATGTCCGGGTTGAGAGGTGAGGAGGGACTGAAGAACACCTCATTCCCTGTGTCCACCCACACCTCACTGTCTGTCTCAGAGCATGCTGAAGCCGACACCTTTTTCTGCTTCACCAACCTCATGGCTGAGATCCGGGACAACTTCATCAAGAGCCTGGATGACTCCCAGTGCGGCATCACCTACAAGATGGAAAAGGTGTACTCCACCTTGAAGGACAAGGATGTCGAACTCTACCTGAAACTGGTGAGGGCCAGGCCACAGGCGGGACACACTGACAGAGCGCACGGGTAGGGCACAGGCCAGGCACACAGCTGCCTGAGTCTGGGGGCTGGAAGAGGCTGCAGTTGAGAACACTGGGCATTTACTCCAGATATGGGCCCGGCGCCAGGGGATGCTGACCCATGTGCTGAGGCAGGCCTGGGAGCCTGGCAGCTGAGCATAGAAGCCCAGTAGGCTGGAGGGGAGTGGAAAGTTAGGAGTGGTGCTTGTAGGCTTGAATGTGGTGGCGTAAGCCTTTAGTCCCAGCATTTGGGAAGCAAAGGCAGACGGATCTCTGAGTTCGAGGCCAGCCTGGTGTATAGAGTGAGTTCCAGGACACTTTGTCTCAAAAAAAAAAAAAAACAAAAAAAAAATGTTGGGTGATGGTGGTATTGGTGCACACCTTTAATCCCAGCACTCAGGAGGCAGAGGCAGGCGGATATGTAAGTTTGAGGACAGCCTGGTCTACACAGAGAAACCCTGCCTCAAAAAAAGCAAAAAACAAGGAAGAAGATACAGGTGTTTAGCACCAAGCCCAGCCACCTTAGTTCAGTCCCTGGGACCCACATGGCAGAAGGAGAACCGACTCCTGAAGGTTGTCCTTTATTCTACATACCTCCTCCAACAAATACATTCAAACTGTAATACGCTTGTGTATTTCATAAAATAGTTGAGTTTAAGCTAGACAGGGAGACACATCCTAGGATAAGGTTCAAGCCAGCCTGGCCTACATAGTGAGTTTAAGACCAGTTTATATGGAAACCTACCTTAAGAATAGATTAAGGAGCCAGATGGTGGTGGTGCATGCCTTTAATCCCAGTACTTGGGAGGCAGAGGCAGGCAGATCTCTGTGAGTTTGAGGCCAGCCTGGTCTACAGAGTGAGTTCCAGGACAGCCAGAGCTGTTACACAGAGAAACCCTGTCTCGAAAACAAGAAAAACAAAACAAAACAAAACAAAAAACTAAAAAAAAAAAAAAAGACACATTTTTGCATATAAATGTTGCAAGTGTTATGGGATAGGCATGTGGCTCCGTTGATGGAATGCTTGCCTAGCATGCTGAAGCCCTGGGCTCATCTGGGTTCCATTCTCATTGGTATATTAACCAGCCACAGTGGTACATGCCTGTAATCTCAACTCTCAGAGGTGGAAGCCAGGGATATCAGGAGTTTAAGGTCATATTTGGCTTCATGGTGACTTTGATCCCAACCTGGGCTGTACATAAAAAAACATTTAGCCGGGCGGTGGTGGCACACGCCTTTAATCCCAGCACTCGGGAGGCAGAGCCAGGAGGATCTCTGTGAGTTCGAGGCCAGCCTGGTCTACCAAGTGAGTTCCAGGAAAGGCGCAAAGCTGCACAGAGAAACCCTGTCTCGAAAAAACCAAAAAAAAAAAAAAAAAAAAAAAAAAATTAAAAAAAAAAAATTGAAAAAAAAAAAAATGAAGCCAGGTTTGGTGACACACGCCTTTAATCCCAGCACTCAGGAGACAGAGGCAGACAGATCTTTTTGAGTTCAAGACCACCTTGGTCTCAAGTTCCGGGACAGCAGGGCTGTTACACAGAGAAACCCTGTCTCAAAAAACAAAACAAAACAAAAACATAAACAATGAATAGGAACAACAACAACAACAAAAAGCCAATACTCAGGAAGCAGAGGCAGGCAGATTTCTGTGAGTTTGAAGTTAGCCTGATCTACACAATGGGTTCAAGACCAGCCAAGGCTATATGATGAGACCCTGTCTAAAACACAAGTTGATAAAATGTTTTGTGAAAAAAAAATATGGACGCATATATTTTTTTAAAATTTTTTTTTAAAGATTTATTTATTATGTATACAACGTTCTGCCTCCGTGTATGTCTGCAGGCCAGAAGAGGGCACCAGATCTCATTACAGGTGGTTGTGAGCCACCATGTGGTTGCTGGGAATTGAACTCAGGACCTCTGGAAGAGCAGCCAGTGCTCTTAACCTCTGAGCCTTCAGCCCTTTTAATATTCTTATTTTATTTTATTTTGATTTTTTGAGGCAGGGTTTGTCTGTTTAGTCCTGGCTATCCTGGAACTCACTTTGTAGACCAGGCTGGCCTCAAACTCAAGAGATCTGCCTGCCTCTGCCTCCCCAGCATGGGGATTAAAGGCGCCTACCACCATGCCTGTCTTGAAGCATTCATTTTTTTTTTTTTTTTGGTTTTTCGAGACAGGGTTTCTCTGTGTAGCTTTGCACCTTTCCTGGATCTCGCGCTGTAGCCCAGGCTGGCCTCGAACTCACAGAGATCCGCCTGGCTCTGCCTCCCGAGTGCTGGGATTAAAGGCGTGCGCCACCACCGCCCGGCCAACATTTTTAAATGAATACGGAATGCTGTTTTTGCTGTGTGGTGCATGCTCTTTCTGTTAATACCCTCTGTGGCTCACCAAAGTGCTCCCCTCTTGGGGATTTCTGTTCTGTGAGGTGGTTTCATGGGTTATGGAAGCTGAGCACAGGTACTGTGCCTGGTGCTGGTCCTTGTGCATGTGGTAAGCCATCATTTCCAAATCCAAAGGGCTTCTAGTGTGTCTTGAAGAAATCAAAAGATATGGCAATGTTGGGTGGACTAGCAGCAGCTGCCCCCTTCGTGGACGGAGACTCTGTGCGGCCCCTCCCAGGGCCCTAGCAGGGCTTGCTCCTAGGCTCTGTTTTCTTTATGCAGCTGACCCCCGATCCCTGCTGTCTCCCCAGCAAGAGCAGAATATCAAACCCCAGTTCTTCGCCTTCCGCTGGCTGACACTGTTGCTGTCGCAGGAGTTCTTGCTGCCCGACGTCATCCGCATCTGGGACTCCCTCTTCGCCGATGACAACCGCTTTGACTTCCTCCTCCTGGTCTGCTGTGCCATGCTCATGTGAGTGGGGCCATGATTTGCCCTGTCTGTAAGGAAAGTGGACCGGGTATCGGGCCAGCAGGACCTGCTGAGGGTGAAGGAGTAAGTGGAGGGCTGCCGGCCTGCTCCTGGGACATCCAGCCCCAGCCATGGCTGCTTGTTTCCTTGCAGACTGATCCGGGAGCAGTTGCTGGAGGGGGATTTCACCGTCAACATGCGGCTTCTGCAGGTAATGGGCACTGGAGGGGAAGCCAGTCTCAGCCACAGGGCAGACACTTTCCACCCCCCACCCTGCAGCTGCCACTGTGGCAGGCTGGCACAGAAACGGGAGCCTGTGTTGTGGGTTCAGGGTCCAGACTCCTGACCACATCTGGTTTGGATCTGAGTTGAATCCTGGTCTTCACAGACCTCGAGTAGTGCACGTCCTTGGCCCTCCAGGACTCTGGACGACAAGGTGAAGGTAGTGGATGTTGCTGAGTATGCTCAGGCAGGGAGGTGTGTGTCAGGAGGGTCTGACAGCCAACCTGAGGTTCACGTGTGTTCTGCTCTGCTTGTCATGTGACTTGAGCCAAGTGACATTTTCTAGGCCTCAGTGTCTTTACCAACTCCTGGCTTAGGGTTGGTTTTCAAACACCTCACTAGCTAGGTCTGTAAGATGGATGTAATCACAGCACCCCTTCTTGAGGCTCCTCAGGGGCTACACTGCCCGAAGTAGCTCCAGCCTCTGCATGGGTGTGGCTCCAGGTTCTATGTCAGGAGATGGGAGGACTGAGGCCTTGGGCACCCCGGTTCTAAGACAGACTGTGAGACCCTTTGGACCTCGGGAGTTGTGACCTCAGTGACACGCTGTGTTTGGGGCGGGATACTCGGGGTGTCTGGTATACCATGGTCCCTGCCCCGGTGCCATACCATGGTGCCATACCATGTGCCATCTGTGTGGGTGTGGTGAGTGGAACACAGTGGGGCTGCTCCAAGAGCACATTGTGATCTTCTTGGTGTCCAGGATTACCCCATCACAGACGTCTGCCAGATCCTACAGAAAGCCAAGGAACTCCAAGACTCGAAGTAACCTGGTAGCAAGAGGCCTGGGTTTGGAAGAGCAGCCACCTGCGCTCCACACCCTGGTTTGTGGGACCCAGAGCAGCCAGTGGGAAAGGCAGCCTGAGGGCAAGCTGCAGGCTTGGCCAGCTCCAGGTCTTCCCACCCTGGTTCCCATGGTCCAGGCTCCTCTTCCTGGAGCACACTGTTGTGCTCCTCCCCAGTGCTCGGCCCTGCCGCTCTCCCTGCACTTCAGCCCTGCGCCCCTCCACCCAGGCTGCCGAGCAGGGCTGGAGCCCTGAGACCCTCTGCCCAGGCTGCCGAGCAGGGCTGGAGCCCTGAGACCCTCCGCCCAGGCTGCCGAGCAGGGCTGGAGCCCTGAGACCCTCCACCCAGGCTGCCGAGCAGGGCTGGAGCCCTGAGACCCTCCGCCCAGGCTGCCGAGCAGAGCTGGAGCCCTGAGACCCTCTGCCCAGGCTGCCGAGCAGGACTGGAGCCCTGAGACCCTCCGCCCAGGCTGCCGAGCAGGGCTGGAGCCCTGAGACCCTCCGCCCAGGCTGCCGAGCAGGGCTGGAGCTCCTGAACTGGTTTCCTGGGGCTGGGGCCATTTGGGGCACAGGAGGCTGGCAAGGGTCCTGCCATACCTCTGCCAGTAGCTCCATGTCCTTTGTGCTTTCACCCTCCCCTGGGACTTGGTCAGGGGAGGTCACTGGCGATGGCCAGAAACCGTTTCTGAGTGTTGGTGCTCAAGCTGCTTGGGGAAGTGAGCCCGGAAGAGCTGCGTGACTGCCAGTTCTCGGTCCACCTTTTGTCTCTCCTGGCTGGTGTGTTTTTGCTCATGGCCCCCAGGTGTCTCTGCTTGTGTGTGTGTCCATGTGTGTTCACACATGCCCTGGACGTGGAGTGAGGGTATGTTGGAGTCCCTCTAAGGCCCTGCTTCCTCTTTTCTGTGTCTCTACCTCTCCCTCCTTCCTTTGCCAGAGATGTGTTTGACCCCTGCTGTCCTTCCTCTCCATTTCTCGTTACCCTTCTCTTGGGGTGCCTTACCCCAAACCTCTTCCTCTCTCCTCTCCTCTGCTTCCTGAAGCCAGCAGTCAGAATGAGGAGTGTGTCTTAGTGGGACCCCTGAAGGCCAGCCTTGGCTTGGGCATTCTGTTCCCATCCCCAGCCCAAGGTTTCAAGGTCCCCTAGTCAGGGGGACTCCACAGTGGCTCGTGAGAGAGCCCTGGCCTGTCTGCTCGTGGAAACCCCGTGCTGCTGACGGTGGTGGACTGTGAGACTTTAAGCCTCTTGCCTATCTTCTGCCTAAGTGTGGAGAAAGGAGGGAGGAGGAGAGTCATTTCAGGGGCTTCCTGAAGACTCATCACCTCAGAGATCAAGGATGTCCCAGCTGTGCTGTGCCTGGGGGTCGGAGCCTAAGCATTTCAGTAGAGCTATCATCCCCGGGGCTTCCATGTTCCTACCAAGGGTGTGCCAGCCTCATCAAGGGCAAGGGGACCAAAGATGCCTCTGTGTGTCCAGGAGAGCTGCATCTGTTCTCTCCTCCTACGGGGCTGTGGAGGTGCTTGGCTGTCTCCCGGCTCTGGGGCCAGTGTGCCCGTAGCCGCTCCTGTTCAGCAGGCAGACGTTTTCTGACCTTGCGCCTTCCCTCCTTTTGTGTGGCGGCCAGGTTGTTTGGGTCCTGAAGGTAGGTTGACCGAAAGAGTCCTCACTGACTGATTAGCCCCAGGAACTGCAGCAGCCACCTGAAGCCTTCCTGAGCCCGGTGGGCAGGGCTTCCTGCCTCCCCAGGCCACTGCGGAGTGAACGTTCTCGGGTGCTGCTGGGACTCCGCGCTTGCCTTTTTCCCGTTTTGCTACCTTCTCCCCCAACACACAATATTTGGGTGTTTTTTTTTTTTTAACTATTTATTTAGACACAGGCTATTTATTGCAGATTGGCAAGTGACTCGGGGCTGTGGGTGGCTGGTAGTTGCTGGGATGGTAGAGTTGGAGGCATGGATTGTCTTAACAGAGATGTTAACTCTGACATCCTCTCTCATCCCTGACTGGAGGGCTGCCAGCTCTACACTAAAACTGAGTATAAGGAGGCCAGAGCTGGTACATTTGCTGTACTCAAAGATACAGGACACATACACTCCTAGCATCCTGGCCGTCCCCTCATCTAGGACCTGTCACTGGTAGTTCAGCCCCAGCATTGACCTCTTCATTGTCTGGAAGCCAGCGGACACTGCCTGGGACACCCAGTGTATTCCCTCTTGCCTGTCTCTCTCTCCCTCTCTCCTTGCCCCTCTTCCTTCCTGGGACCATGCTGCTGGAATCACTGCATCCGATTGGTTTCTGTGGGAGACCTGCATCCTGTGCCCACTGCTTGGTCCTTGGGATGAAGGCCAAGGACACACAGACTCTTCTTGAGTAGGGTGGCTCCCCAGTTGGGTGCTGCCCGAGGAAAGAACTTGTCCTCAGAGGACCTGCAGCTTCCCCCGGGAGTGGCCCCCAGGAGCTCCGCAGGTCCGCCTGAGAGTCAGGACAGCAATGGCTTTTGTGTTGGCATCCATTCCGAGTCAGTGCTGTTAATGAGTTGTCTTTAATAAACCGTGTGCTCTCTACCATGTGGATTGGTCCTTCGATGGCCCGACGTGACACTTTGGAGCAAGGACAAAGTCAGAGTCCCTTCTACTGGTCTAAGAAAGACCAGGAAGTGCTTTCCAGGAGAGCCTGCCTCTTCCAGTTCAGCTGCCAGTCAGCAGGAGATGGGTGGGCTTAGGAAGGAGGGCTCTGCCAGTACACACTTTATTATTCATTTTTAAGTTGTAGTTGTGCATATGCTAACTGTAAACTCTGAAAATAATAAGATGCTACTTGCAATACCTAAGAGAAATTAAAGTTCTTATGAATTTTGTGCTGCTCATAGAGCCCAGGCCCTCACACATATCAAGCAAGCACTGGACCACTGAGCCAGAACCACAGCCCCATGAATACTGTGCATTGTAAATCCTTGGAAGAAGTTGACGGAGGTGCAGAGAAACAAGAGGGTACTTACTTACTCTGCATTTCCAGGTTGGAAGAACTTCTCTCCATTCCCAGTATCTAGAACTGTGAAAGGTGAACGGGTGGGTTCTAAGTGTATATAGTTGAATGAATGAATCTTTTCCAGCTGGTGAGAAAATGAAAATTCCTTCTCCATCTTAAGCAACTCCCGGCTAAATAAGCCCAAGACTGGGAGTGTGGTAAGAAGGTGGTGATTATGGGATGGTGGGAGGAAGGGTTCCAGCTCACCGAAATTTAATAGTAAATGAGCTGGGGATCCAGGAGTCTGGTGCACTAACTCAAGCCCAGCTCTGGGTAAATGTGGTCCCCATCAAAATTCCAGTGTGGCCAAGTGTGGTGGCACAGACCTGTGATCTCAGCACTCCACAAAGAGGATCCTGGCAAATCTGAGACCGGCGTGTGTAGTTCCAGTCTTCCTGGGACTACATAGCGAGGTCCTGCCTGAAACAACATTACTGTGACATGGAAGTGTAGCTCAGTGGCAGAGCATCTGCTTTGCTTGCCTGAGCCTATGAGTCCTAACACACACATACACACACATACACACACACACACACACACACACACACACACACACACACAAAGTCATTTTTCACAGGAAAAGGAAAGAATCTGAAAATGTGTTAGGGAACCATAAAAGATCCCAAGTACCTGATATAATTGTGAGCAAAAGGACAAAGCTGAAGGCCACCTGACTTTAAAATCCTAGTTTATGGTAATCAAAACAGCACGATGTGGACAGAAATAGATGACATCGAGTTTATTCCCAGCACTAGGGAGGCAGAGGCAGGTGGATCTCTGTGAGCTCAAGGCCAGCCTGGTCTACAGAGCAAGTTCTAGGACAGCCAGAGCTGCTACACAGAGAAACCCTGTCTTGAAAAACCAAAAAAAAAGAAAGAAAAAAATATGACATCAACCTTTTAAACTTTTATGTGTATGTGTGCTTACCTGCTGTATGTGTACGTGGTGCCCATGGAGGCTAGAAGAGGGCACCATACTCCCCGGGACTGGAGTTACAGGTGGCTGTGGGCCACCCTGTGGAGAGTGGGAACTGAACCCAGGTCCTCTGCAAGAGCAGCCAGTGCTCTTCTGAACCATCCCTCCAGCCCCTGTAATCAGTTGCCTTGACAAAGGAGCCAGAAACACAATGGAGAAAGGACAGTCTTCAGTAAATGGTGCTGAGAGAACTGATTTCCACACACAGAAAAGCAAAATGAAACGTTTACAACACATAGAGAATCAACTCTCAAATGAATTGCAGGCTTAATCCTGAAGCCTGGAACTGTAGCTGTCAGAAGACAGGGGGATGCTGTTTGGACATGGCCCCCAAAGCACTCTTATATTTATTGGTAACATTCACAGGAACCAAAAAATCTAATGTCCATTAGTGGATGAATGGACAGAGAAAATGGTATAGATACACATTGAATACTACTCTGCTTTTGTGTGTGTGTATGTGTGTGTGTGTGTGTGTGTGTGTGTGTGTGTGTGTGTGTGTGTGTGTGTTTAAGGCAGTCACCCCAGGCTGGCCTTGGGCTCATGGTAATTCTGTCTCAGCCTCCCTAGTGCTGAGACTACAGATAAGAGTCACTATGCCCAATTACTATTCATTAGCCTTTCTTTAATGTGTGTGTGTGCTTGTGTGTGTGCTTGTGCCAGCCCATGCACAGGTATACACATGTTGTAGTAAGAACTCGGGAGTCAGTTCACTCCTTCCATTTTGTTTCGATGCAGGGTCTCTTATTTCATCCACTGTGCTGTGCACTGTAGGCCCCTGCCTGGGCCTCAAATCTCAGTTTGGGAATGCTAGGATTACAGATGTGAGCTGCTGCCTCTGAGGCCTATGTGTGTTCCAGTGATGGAAATCATGTCATCAGTCATGCTTTTACCCACTAAGCTTGCTCCCCTGCCCCCAAAAATATCTTTCAACTGGGTGGTGGTGGTGCACTTCTTTAATCCCAGCACTCAGAGTCAGGGCCAGGTGGATCTCCGTGAGTTCAAGGCCACCCTGATCTACAAAGCAAGTTCCATGACAGTCAGGACTGTTACACAAAGAAACCCTGTCTTGAAAAAATAAGCAAACAAAAAAGTGAGTTTCATTATAACACTTCCATATGTATATGCTGTGCATTTTTATTATTTCCTTCCAGTGCCCTCCTGTCTTCCAGCACCTGCTGATCCCCTATTTTCCAATTTAATGCTTAATAAATAATTGGTTTTGTCTCGTGCTAATGATTGTAGCTCTGATGATACACACTCGTATTGTTCTTTCCCCCACTTTAATAAGTGGTAGGCAAGTTGCTGTCTTAAAATATTCGTAGGTTAAATACTGTTCCATCTGGTGTGCAGGAAATATTCTTATCCACCCCCTAGAGTTGAGTACTGTCCAGCTTCTGTGGACAGGAAACACTGCCTTACACAACATACTTCAGCCTTTAAGAGGGTTGAAAAGACCTGGGCGTGGCGGTGGCGGTGGCGGTGGCGGTGGCGGTGGCGGTGGCGGTGGCGGTGGCGGTGGTGGTGGTGGGTGGCGGCGCCGGTGGTGGTGGTGGTGGCGGCGGCGGCGGCGGCGGCGGCGGCGGTAGTGGTGCACGCCTTTACTCCCACCACTCTGTGAGTTTGAGGCCAGCCTGCTCTACACAGTGAGTTCCAGGACAGCCAGGGCTACACAGACCCTATCTCGAAAAACCAAAACAAAACAAACAAAAAAATGGAAAAGTATGACCCTAGTATAGGCTTTTCAAGCTGCTTTTTACGACCTCACTAGCAACCTTAGCCTCAGGCGGCTGTCAGCAGCTTCAGCCTGCACCTGCGCCCTTTTGTCAGCCAATGGAGAGAAATGTTTGGCTCATTTGAGTGGAGAGGAGGGGTCTGACAGATCCGGGTTTCTGTCCTGTTCAAGCAACTAGACTTCCCAGGCCTGTGTGAAGGTTAAATACTCGGCCCTGGGACTGCGCTAAACGCCCTGCAGGAGGCAAGGTTTCCGGAGACGCACACGGCGAGGCGGAGCCAGACTTGGCAGCGACCAATTGTAAGCAGGTCGGGCGGCGTCACGCCCCGGCCCGTGTCTAAAAAGGGCGGAGGAAGGCCCCGAGGACACGCGCTAGGGGTCGCCCGATGCTCCTGCGCCTTGCACTGGGACCACGCTCGTCCTCTTATAGGCCATGCGCGCTCTGCGGGTCGGTCTGACCCTGGCGCTAGGCGCGGGGTTGGGTGCGGCGGCAGAGCACTGGCGGCGACGGGCTGGGATAGCGCCGGGGCTGCTGGGCCGGGTGCCGGTGCTGCCCGTGGTAGCGGCCGAGCTGCCCGCGCTGCCTGGGGGGCCGGCGGGTGGCACCGGGGAACTGGCCAAGTACGGGCTGCCCGGCGTGGCGCAGCTCCGGAGCCGGGAGTCCTATGTGCTGAGCTACGACCCGCGCACGCGCGGTGCGCTCTGGGTCTTGGAGCAGCTGCGGCCTGAGCGGCTCCGCGGGGAGGGCGACCGCAGCGCCTGCGACTTCCGAGAGGATGACTCTGTGCATGCATACCACCGTGCCACCAACGCGGACTACCGCGGCAGCGGCTTTGACCGCGGCCACTTGGCCGCCGCCGCCAACCACCGCTGGAGCCAGCGGGCCATGGACGACACCTTCTACCTGAGCAACGTGGCCCCGCAGGTAGCCGTGGTCCCCGGGCACCTGCCTGACTGCAGCGCCTAGGTCTGAATTTACACGTGCACCGTAGCGGGAGAGACGGGGTTTGAACTTAGACGGAGTGCTGGGAAGCACTCCTGTGGGAAACAGCGCTCCTATCTCCCAGTCTGTAAGCTACCCAGTGTACTTCCGGAGGGAACCCGGGAGGTCGCCTACTCCGTGTTCCCAGCTGGCCCCTGCAGCAGCTGCCAGGAAAACAGCTGGCACGAAGTTGGGCTGTTGGTGCCAGTCACATGACCCTGGACACATTGTTAGCACTGCACCTGCTCCCAGGAGGGTTGTGATAGGTGAACTAGGAACATCCACCCAGTGGTCGGAGATGGACAGAGCATGCCCCCCACCTCCACCCCACCCCCAGTGCTTGTTCTGAGGCCTGTCAAGGGACCTAGGGGATCTCTAAATGATTAATGCTCCCTCTGTCCCCGGTTCTTTGAGCTGGGGTAAACTTACGAGATTTGGAGTGCCTAGGAACGGATGGCGTGTGGCTAGCAGTGGACAGCCCTACAAACACTCAACCCCTGTAGTCACAGAGCCTCAAGGAGTGACTCCTTCTTTGAGCCTTCGTCCTCCACATGCTTGGCCGTCTCCTTAGGACCTGGGGTATTCCTAACAAAGAAGGGCCCAGGTGTGGTACTGAGCCTTGCTTCTCCCACCAGGTGCCGCACCTCAACCAGAATGCTTGGAACAACCTTGAGAAGTACAGCCGCAGCTTGACTCGCACTTACCAAAATGTCTATGTCTGCACAGGGCCCCTTTTCCTGCCCAGGTAAGTCTGTGGCTGACAGGGCCTTCCAATCCTATTCTCCGACCTTGGGCTGTTTCACTGCAGCCAGAGACCTTTGGGTGGCCTAGAACCCTCTTGTGTCCACAGCTGCTAGGCCCCAAGTCTGCCTTTGCTCCCCTTTTGACACGTCGCTGCACCAGGCTCTCACCTGTGCTGGGCTTGAAGCACTCCTTCCCAAGGTCAGCCCTGCCCGACAGGCGAGCTAAGTTCCTCTGAACATCGGAGAGCCTTGTGATCAGCTCAGGCCTGGCATGGCTGCTGCTGAGGAACCTGGACGCTCCCATCCATCCAGTGTGGCAGTGCTGATACCAGGCCCGGGCTGGGACTGCACTGTCATGGCCCTCACACCCTTGCTTGCCTGGTGTACTGCCTATGGGGACAGGTGGTAGTCACATGACTGCATGTGACTTCAAGGTCCAGAGAGCTCATTCCTCTAGCAGCATTTATTGCCACCCACTCCGTCTGAACCAGTATTGGGCAGAAAAACAGAGGGTTAAATGTTGGTCCCCACCCTACAGAGTTCCCCGGCCCAAGGAGGCAACCAGGCACGGAAATAAATTTCTTGTTGGAAGTTAGGTCAGGGAAGGCTTCCTGGAAGAGGTGGCCTTGTGTCCAACCCTGCTTCCTGGCCACATGTGCCTGGGTCTATCCACAGGACAGAGGCTGATGGGAAGTCCTACGTCAAGTACCAGGTTATTGGAAAGAATCATGTGGCAGTGCCCACGCACTTCTTCAAGGTGCTCATCCTGGAGTCCACCAGTGGGCAAATCGAGCTGCGTTCCTACGTGATGCCCAATGCCCCTGTAGACGAGACTCTCCCTCTGGAGCGCTTCCTCGTGCCCATCGAGAGCATTGAGCGTGCCTCGGGGTTGCTCTTCGTGCCCAACATCCTGGCCCGTGCCGGGAACCTCAAGGCCATCACTGCTGGCAGCAAGTGAGGGGGAAGGATTCAAGACACTGGGGAGATGGGGCTGGTTCATATTAAAGATGGTTATTTTTGGAGACAAGCCTTGACCATCTCTGTTCCTGGTGATCCTCCATTTCCTGCTGTTTCTGCATCCTGGATCCATGAAGTTGTCAGGTGGTCCAGGAACCCGCCTGGATGAGACCAGGTTGCAGGGCAGCCAGGGAGATGAGTATGGCTTCCTGGAAGAAAAGAAGTTGGCTGGGACCTGGCAGTTACCCAGCTGCCCCAGCCCCAGCCGGGGCCTTCTTCAAGAGCCAGGAAGAAGATGATGGGCAGTTGTTTCCAACTGGCTGAGCAGTAGTAAGTGACATGGGCAGGGCCTCAGGGACAGGCAGACTGGGGCTATCAACCTACAGTCACCACCCTTGAGACCGATGGAGCAACAGAGCCTCCTCCACATGGTACCCATAGGGACATCATTTTATGCTGGCCTCTGGGATGGTTGCACAGATCCCATGGATGCTCTGTTCTTTTTTTGTTTTTTTCGAGACAGGGTTTCTCTGTGTAGCTTTGCGCCTTTCCTGGGGCTCATTTGGTAGCCCAGGCTGGCCTCGAACTCACAGAGATCTGCTTGGCTCTGCCTCCCGAGTGCTGGGATTAAAGGTGTGCGCCACCACCGCCCGGCAGATGCTCTGTTCTTGTGGGACACTTTTCCTCAGCACAGAAATGTTGTTGACACCCAGAGGGGCCTAGGACATCACCAAGGAAGCAGAGGCCCTGAACAGGGACAGACAGGGTACCTGGGGACTACTACTGGCCCAGGACTTGCAACCTTTATGGCTCTTGTGTCCTGTCCCTGCCACGAGTTTGCTGTGGTAAGGACCCCACCTTCAGAAAAGGCATTTAGGCTGAGGCTCGGAAGATGTCTCGGTGGTTAAGAGCACTGGTTGCTTTTCCAGAGGTCCCGAGTTCAATTCCCAGCATCTACATGGTGGTTCATAACCGTCTATACCTGTAGTCTCGTGGGATCTGATGTCCTCTTCTGACGTGCAGAAGTACATGAACTCATAAGTAAATCTTGGGAGAAAGCACCTAGGGTGGATCACAAGGAGGACCGGGTGCCTGTGCCTGCGGCTCACCTCAGTGCGGATGGTACGGCTGCCCTGGTTGGGGCATGTGTTGACGTAGAAGTCGAAGAGGACACTGGGTTCAGACACTTCAAGGTTGGGGTCAGCATCCACTCCAGCTTCCAGCCCTTGGAGGCCCCCGAACACCACAAGAGCATGCCTGGTACCCAGAGACAGGGAGTCACTGACTTCAAGGCTCCACTGGATAGTCCCCAGAGCTTTAGGTCCCCAAACCCATATACAGTAGGGCCCAGTCCCTGCCCTAAGCAGCACCCACCTGAAGCTGGGCAGCTGGGCAGAGGCCACGTTGGAGCCACGTTCTGATGTACCAATGGTCAGGTCGTACCCATCCTGGAAGGGAGCCTCAGCAAACACGGCACCTGGGGGTGGGGCCGCTCAGTGGGGTGCTGCTCTGGGCTGTGTCTCTAGCATATTGCAAGGTGGCTGAGAGCTCAGGTAAAGGGACCATCTACTGCTCTTGGGAAGTTGGGGGCAGGGAATGGTGGAGTTGAAGCCTGGGCTGGGGAGCACACAGGGTGGGCGAGGAGGAGCTCCCAAGCCCTGGACCATGGTCAGCAGCCTGACCCTGGCTTCAGAGGGCTTTCCTGGTTTGGTGTTTGAGACAAGGTCTTGCTCTGTTTCCTGAGCTGGCCTCAAGTTTACAGTGAGAGCCCTTTGTTGGCCTCCCAGTGCTGGGATGGCAGCTGGGGGCCAAGCACGTCCTGCTCTCAGATGTTCTTAGCATCCGAACAGATGTTCAGGGAGACCAGAGATGGCACCACTTAGACACACACCCATCTGGTAGGACAGAGGGACATTCAGGGAAGGAACTCGGCCTTACTGAGACAGGAGGCCAGCCGGACAGTGTAGCCCCAGTAGAGACCAGCTTTGGTGCGGGGGTCCTGTGACGACACGACTGTCCCCTTGTAGGTCTTGCATTCTGGGGAATAAAACAGGCTGTGAGGACCAAGGAGACCAGGAGGTAGGTGGAGGCTCTAGGCCAGGCAACTGTAAGGGCCACGGAAGCTTCCAGATACCTGGGGGGAGCTGCTTCTGGTTCAGTCGCACGGTCACGCGGAGTCCAGGTTCCAGTTTCTTGTCAATCTTCACCTCCTGTGGAGAAGCTAGAGGAAATGAGCGCCACACCTCCAAAGGGGCCAACCTTCTCAGAGACCCCCCCGAGAACTGTGGTGCCAGGTCAGCCCGCCACCCTGTTTCTGGCACTGAGTAGGACCTGTTAAGAGAGACCATTCATGCAGAACAGTTACCACAGGGCACTGGTCAGAGATGGAAGCCCTGGGTAAGAGATGAAGTCATAGGTTTCCTCCATGTGGTGGCTTGGCCACTTGTTAGCTGCGGAGTGTGAGGGGGTCACTTAACTCCTGTGAGCCTCAGCCTCCTCATCTGCTGACCAGGAGACTATATATAAACAAGAGCTACTGTCGGACGGTTCACCAGGCACCCGCCCCCAAGCCTGATGACCAGAGCTCACTCCTCACACAGTGCGGGGAGAACACACTTGTCAAGTCGTTCTCTGAGCTCACATTTACTCCTTGGCACGTGCATGCTTACACACACATTCACACCCATGTACACTAAAAATGAGAAATTAAAAAATCGCCTCACCCCAAACCAGCAAAGCTGAGAATGTACTTCAACAACAGAGCATGATTAAATCTCAGTAACAAAAATAAATAATAAACACACCACAACACTGCGTGTGGTCATGACTTCATCTCTCTTTTATTTTTATTTTATGTATATGGGTGTCTTGCCTACATGCATGTCTGTGCACCATGTTCATGCCTGGGGCCCACGGAGGCCAGAAGAGGGCATCAGATCCCCTGGAACTGGAGTTACAGTTGGTTTGTGAGTCGCCATGTGGGTGCTGGGAACTGAACCTGGGTCCTCTGCAAGAGCAACCAGCGCTCTTAACCAATGAGCCACCTCTCCAGCTTCCCTGAGTTCATCTCTTAAGTTCTACTTTGGGTACTTCTCTGATCCAGTTAGCAATAACTGGTGTTTCACAACAGGCCTACAGTCCAGGTCTATTCTTATGTCCCTGCCTGTCTTCCACAGTGAGCAAGTGTCCTCAAGGTAGACCACAGCCTGCCTTCCATTCCCACCTTCTTCATTCCACAGTTGACCAAAGAGCCATGGCCTGCCTTGGTGGGCCGGTCCACCACAACGCCTTCTCGGAACTCGGATTCCTCATCCTGACGCATGTGGTGAGGACTGTCCAAGGGGTTGAGGATCCCTGTGGGGGTCAGGAGGGTGATGTCAGGTCCAGACCTGCACTCTCAGGCCTGCTTTCCCACTGGGGTAAGTGGGGCAAGATCATTTCCCAGTGCCTAGGATGAGCCCTGAGAAATGGGGCGGGCACGCCAGCCATACCTGCGAACTGCAGGTCCTGATGTTTGGGGAAGAACGCCTTTCTCAGGTACCTGGGGCGGAAGGCAGCTGTCAGGACCACCCTGGGGAGGCTGCTTCCCAGCGACATCCAAGGGAACACCACCCTCGCCTCACACTTACTGTGGACACTCCAGGTACTGCAGGATGCGGGCCAGCTGTACACACGCCTGCCCCTTCTTGCCAACTCCCTTGAATTCCCCTTCCACAGTCCTGGGAAGACAAAGACAGGGCTCAAGGTTCCCGTGCTGGGCTGGAGAGACGGCCTACCGGGTTAAGGGCTCCTGTTCCCAATCCTGAAAACCTAAATTCCAAGCCCAGAACCCGCATGAGAAGAGAGCTGACACCTGACTCCTGCATGTCGTCCTCTTCATTTATTTATTGTTTTGGTTTTTGAAACAGGGTTTCTCTGTCAACAGCCCTGACAGTCCTGGAACTCACTCTGTAGACCAGGCTGGCCTTGAACTCAGAGATTCACCTGCCTCTGCCTCACGAGTGCTGGGATTAAAGGTGCGCGCTGCCCCTGCCCGGCCCGAGTTGTCATCTGAGTTCCACAACCACACTGGTGTGTATATACACAAGCACCATAAATAAATAAATAAATAAATATTAGATAGGAGCCACACCGGAGCTAAGAGCTGAATGGCATGCAGCTTCAGTGGCAGAACAAGTACAAAACCCGGAGTTCCATCTCCAGCAGCAAGGGAAAAAAATCCAACCGCAGCTGCCTTGACAGCGGCTCCCACCCACTGTGAGAGTCCTCGACTCGACAAAACTAAGGATTATAATGTGGGCATTCCAGGCGGGGCACTGTCAAAAAGCCAGGCAGGTGACAAGGGACAGAACAAGTCACAGCCAACCCTGGTGGCCCTCCCCTCCCTGTGAAGACTCTCACTTGGTATCCTGGCCCTCCTCATCGAACACCACGATCTCGTCGACGCAGAAGATGGTGCAGGCTCTAGCGATCTGGCCAGCCAGGTAGGTGCGAAGCTCAGGTGACTGGGCGTTGTCCAGGATGGAGCCCGGCAGGGCCACGCTCAGAGTGTAAGGCCGTCCTAGCAGGGGTAGGGGTGCTCCTGGTCAACCTGACAGGCTGTGGACCTCTCCTCCCTTGCTCTGTCTGCCCCCATGGTCAGAGTAAGAGAACTGTCTTACTGGGAGGAGCTTTGAGATCAGCAAACTAGATTCCACCCCTTCTCTAAAGGTTCCAATCTGTTCAGGAAGAAATGGACCAAAGTCTCCAAGGCTTCTCAAAGTAAGGCAGCCTGGAGAACAAGGCCAAGCATTGGTCAGCAGCACTGGCCTACATCTGGATCCTGGCTCTGCTCTAAGATACCTCAGTTTACCAGCTGTCAAATGTAAATAAGAACAGCTAAAATCTGGCTGTTCTTACACAGGCCCTGAGATCAACATGGCGGCTCACAACTGTAATATAGCCCCATGGGATCTAATGACCTCTTCTGGTTTTCAGATGTACATGCAGACAAAACACCCATATATGTAAAACACACAAATAAATAAATCTTAAAAAGCCAGTGAAAATATAATACGTATTTGATATCACACAAGCCCCGGGAAGCATCAAGTCTGCCCTCTCTACCTGTAGTTTCCCCACCTACGGATTCAATCAACCCTGACTGGAAACAAATATGTACACATTTGTGCACACACATACACAGCCTGTGTAAGTCACTGATTTGTTGTGGGATAATCCTTTTGTACACTGTGAAGATGTGTCTTTGCCAAGGTACCTTCTGATTGGTTTAATAAAGAGCTGAATGGCCAATAGCTAGGCAGGAGAGGATAGGCAGGATTTCTGGGGAGAAAGAGGAAGAGGAGATGCCAGTGAACCTTGGACCAAGTCAGACATACGGAATGGAGGAGAGGTAAAAAAAGCCATATGGCAGACCGTAGATTAATAGAAGCAGGTGAGTTTAAGTTTTAAGAGCTAGCTAGGGACAAGCCTAAGCCAAAGGCCAAGCTTTCATAATTAATAAGAAGTCTCCGTGTCATTATTTGTGAGCTGGCAGTCCCAAACGAAAATCAAACAACACTGACTGTGTGGTGGTTTGTTTTTTATTTTGGGATGGGGGAGTCTTACTCTATCTAGTCCCCAGACTACTCCCAAACCCATGATCTTCCTGTATCAGTCTTCCTAGTGAGGGAATTACGTACATCAGATATAATGTTGGAATATTTACAAAAGAACCCCCTTTTATCTGTGTTAAACATGTTATTAATATATAGTAACAAGAACTCACAAGGCATTGTGCTGTATTATATGTTACAGGTGGTCTGAACTTGGCTCTCAGTTGGGGAGAGGGGATGTATCTGTAAAACTTCACCACCTGAAGGCCATGAGCATCTCCAGACAAGTGGAAGGCTCCTGGAACCAGAGTCCTCCCCATTTACATGAGTATGGTTTGTCCCCCAGGAAAGTCGGATAAGTGTTCTGTCTGTAGTGACATTAAGTGGTGGGGTGGCTGAGACAGGAGATAGGTTGCCTAGCTGTAGAGGAGCCACCACATTCTCTCCCTCCTGGGGTTTCCTTATCAGAAAGAGGTAACACTTAGACATCATTTCCAGGGCCCCTGAACCCATGTTCAACAGCCCCACTGGTGGCTACTGAGCTCTAAAGGGTACAATGTTCCCACTCTCACACACCCACCAGTGAAAAAGGATTCTTTCTGTTTGTGAAAAAGGATACTACGAGCCCTGGACTAGCCTTGAACTCTTTATCTTCCTGCCTCAGCCTCCCAGGTACTGAGATCACAGCTGTGTGTATCACCACAACTAAAAAAAGATGGTCTCTTAGGGTAAATGTACTGTCACGGAACACTCAGGGCAGTAACAGGAGATGAGGAAAGCCAGGTCCAGAAGCATATACCCAGGACTCAGGGCTGTCACACTGTACATACAGGCTCTCTCCTGCCACACCACTAGTCATGTTAGAACAAGCCACAATCACAACCTGCTCAGTTTTTCTTTCTTTTTCATAGTTTTCTGTATCGTTTTCAGCATGTATTAGATATAATGGGAAAATAAAGAAAAATTTTCATTATGAAATTAAATTTAAAACGTAACTAAAGCACTCAGAAGGCTCAAGAGGTGCAAGCCAAGGGTAGTTTGGTGAGAGAATGCCTACCATGAATGAAGGCTCTGGGTTTAATCTTTAGCGCCTCACTTGAAAGGAAAAAAAGAAGAAGAAGAAAGAGAGAGGGAGGGAGAAAAAAGAAGGAAGGGAAAGAGAGAGAGGAGAAAACAGAGACAGAGAGAGGGAATGAGGAGCGACGGAAGGCAGCAAGTTAGCTGTGAGGCTCGGCTTCAGGCCACAACCTGCGTCCTCCCCAGGACCCAGCTGCTTACCTTGGTCGCTCCTCTGGGCAGCAGCCTCCTCCTCCTCCTCCTCCTGGCGCTTGGCCTGTTCCTCCTGGGCCCGCTGCCGCTCCAGTTTTTTCATTATCTTGAGGTCCTTCCACTTCTTTTTCTCCTCTTTCTCTGGGAGAAGAATTAGTGGGGGGAGAGGGCCTTGGCATAGTGAGGAGAGTTCCCTCTCACTGGGCCAGTCTGGGCTCCAGGAGGCTGCCAGGGCAGCTCCACTGGATGGACACCCAGAGACGGCTTGGCGGGGGCATTAGGTGGTCTGGGGGAAGGGAGGGCTCAGCGCTCTTTCCAGCCCGCCGCCAGCCAGCCCTTACTTACTCTGCCGCTTCCATTTTCGCCATTCAACCCTTTGGCCATGTTCACCCTGGAAGAGCAGGAGGAAGACAGGGGAGCATCGTTGCTGGCCTCCAGCCCTCTGAATTCCCCAAACTAGGCAGGAGTACACAGTGACACGCTGTGCTCAACGCCTGGGGTCAGGCCCGGCACAGTAAGCAACCGGGAAGTTAGGGGATGAATTCCCATAGAATAAAAGGAGAAATTGAGGAAAGGGGAGGAGAGGCCTATCCACAACGTTGCCCTAGGAAACAGAAACAAGCCAGGAAAGGGCTCACGAGCATGAGCACCGTCGCCCTGAGGAATGCAGCGCGGGCCAGCTAACCTCGAGAGCTCAGGCCTCGGGCGAGCAGCTAGGAGGGAGCACCCAGGTCGACACCACTGTGAGACGCCGCGGCTCCCCGGCCTTGCCCGGAACCCCACGGGCTGCCACTTACCGGGCCACACGGACGCTTCTTCGGGCGCTCCGCCATGTTTCCGGAGCACCACGCGCTTGCCAATCAGCCTCGCCGCTTCCGGCCACACCTCCGCGGAGCTGCCCAATCGAAGGCCCTGCGGCGTGTGGGGGCGTGGCCTAGGAGTCAGGGGAGGTGGAGCACGGACACTCCCCCTGCAGATGCACAGGCAACAACGCTGGCTCCTGTCTTCAAGATAAATGAATTTCGCGACTCAGTGTGGTCCGAACCCTAAAAGGCTCACATGTGGCCCTCCCGATCGGTACCCGGGCGACATTCAGCTTCCACGATTTATGTAAGGAGACCCTACTGGAAATTACTTTAGTAGTAGTTTAATCCAGTGCTTCAATTTGTTCATTTGCACTTTCTTTTTATTTATCCATTCATTCATTTTCCTGGGAATCCAACTAAGGGCCTGACATATGCTAAATCAAGTGCTCCACCAGTGGCTTACATTCCCAACCCTGCCTAAACTTTATTCTTTATCACTTTATTTGTTTGAGTGTGGTTGTTTAAATTTAAAAAAAATTATTTGAGATAGGGTGTTACTATGTAGCTTGGACTGACCTCAAACTCAGGATCACCTTCCATCAACCTCCTGAGTGCTTTGATGGATTGATTAATTTTTGGCAGGCTCGAGAATCAAATCCAAGGTCTCCAGCATGCAAACACTCTACCACCGAGCAACATTCCCTGTCCCCTTTAAAGTAATATTTTAAGTTTAAGAAAAAATGGGAAGATAGTAATGAAAGTGGTTCCCCTAAAAACTTTTCTGCCTGGTAGCTTTGTATTAATTTTTTGTTTTGTTTTGGTTTTTCAAGACAGGTTTCTCTGTGTATCCCCAGCTGTCCTGGAACTTGCTCTGTAGACTAGGCTGGCCTCAAATTCAGAGATCCACCTGCCTCTTGAGAGCTGAGATTAAAGGCATGTGCCACCATACAGAGCTTGTATTAACATTTTAGAATGATCTGGTACTTTGTTACAGTTGGGGAAGATACTGACACATTATTATCAACCAAACAACATTCTCTCTTGAGTTATACTTTCTTTTTGTCTGTTTTGCTTGCTTTGGTTTTGTTTGTTGAGATAGTATCAACTGCCTCAATCTCCCAAGTGAGGAAATTAAAGACCAGTAAGCACCATGTTCTCTGGGTTTTGACTTTACTTAATTTATTTATTTGTTTGTTTGTTTTTCGAGACAGGGTTTCTCTGTGTAGTTTTGGTGCCTTTCCTGGAACTCACTCTGTAGACCAGGCTGGCCTCGAACTCACAGAGATCTGCCTGCCTCTGCCTCAGGAGTGCTGGGATCAAAGGCGTGCGCTACCACCGCCCGGCTACTTAATTTATATGCGTGTTTTGTCAGCATGTATGTCTGTGCACACAGGCTTTTCTGGTACCTGAGAAGGCCAGAAGAGAACACTGGATCCCCTGGCACTTACAGGAGGTTGTGAGCCACCATGTGTGTGCTGGGAACTGAGCCCAGGTCCTCTTAACCGCTGAGCCATCTCTCCAGCTCCCAGGTCACTTCTTTGAAGGGGGCGGGGCGGTGTGTGACTCAGAGGTTCACTGTGTATCTCACACAGGCCTTGATTCAAGATCCCCTTGCCTCAGATTCCTGAGTGCTGGGATTATAACTGTGCACCAAAAACTGGGGGTGGTAGCACACGCCTTTAATCCCAGCACTGGGGAGGCAGAGGCAGAGGCAGGCAGATCCCTGTGAGCTCCAGGACAGCTAGAGCTACATAGTGAGACCCTGTCCCAAACAAAACAAAACAAGAGCCAAAACAAAAAAGCAAGCCAGGTGTGCACCACCCAGCCAGCTTCACAATCACATCTGGGGACTCAGAGTTATGGCTATGGCTATGAGTTATGGGCAGATTCTGGGATGATTCACGAGAAAGGAGATCTTTGGTCAGACTGTTCTGTTTATTTTTATTCATGTGTGTGCATGTCCTTCTGTGTCTGTATGTATACTCTCCACCTTTGAGGCAAGCTTGTTCCCTGAGCCTGGGGCTCATGGCTCTGCCCAGGCTGGAAGCTCCCAAGAGTCTCTTGTCTCCACCACATTCCTAGCTGGGGTGGAAGGCATGTGTGGGGCACACAGCTTGTAACGTCGGTGCTGGGATCTGATCTCTGCTCCTCCCGATTGTATAGCCATCTCTCCAACCTAGGCTTTGTTTTTGAGACAAACTCTCATGTATCAGCATTGAACTCACAACGCAGCAGAGCCAGACCTTGAACTCCTGATCTTCCCTGCTCCGCCTCTGGAGTAAAATAGTGGGTGTGTGCCATCAGGCCTGGTCTTTGCCAGGAACTTTAAGAATTCTAGGAGTTTACCCTCTACAAGACTTTATCGTCTTGCCATGTGGTGCGGCAGAGGCGCTTCAAGCCTGAGCCCTTGAGGTGGAACGTTGGTTCCCAGGCCTCCCTCTGCACCAGCAGCAGTACCCTGTGGCTCTGTGGCTCTGCCAACAAGCGTGTTCCAGGGACGATTCTTGGCTGGGATGCAGCTCAGAGTTACAAGTGCTTGTCCAGCATGTGTATGCAAAGCCATGAGTTCAATCCTTAGCATTGCCAACAAAACAAAATGCAAAATCAAGCCAGGATGGATGGTTTAGGCTTATCATCCTAATACTCAGGAGGCAGAGAGAGGAGGATTGTCATGAGTTTGAAGCCAACCTTGGCTACAGTGTGACACCGACCTCTCCTGGCAACCTTCAAAGAGAAAAATATGATTTTGGATTGAACTGAAAGTCCAGTCCCACCCCATTCCCCGAGGACAGTAGAGGGGAGGGGGCAGCCTCAAAGCTCTGACGCTAACCCCAAGTCCAAAGGAGCTTTATATGATTAACAAAAACCACTCCCATCTATCACAAAACTTCATGTTGTAGGAATTCTGTTCCAGGAGAAAACTGTTTTGTTGTTGTTTTTGTTTTTTGTTTTTTTGAGACAGGGTTTCTCTGTGTAGTTTTGTTCCCTTTCCTGGAACTCACTCTGTAGCCCAGGCTGGCCTCGAACTCACAGAGATCCACCTGACTCTGCCTCCTGAGTGCTGGGATTAAAGGTGTGTGCCACCACCGCCCGGTGAGAAAACATTTAAAGTTCTTACGTAACCATCATTTCTCTAGGTTCAAGAAAAGATGTGAGTGAAACTCCTGAGGTCACTCTACAAATGAACCTGGCTCCTAGCGCGGCCTTCCGTGCGGATTTAGGACTGCAGTGGCTTCAGTGAGACAACTGGGGTCAAGTCCCACTTCTCTGCCAGGTGTGGAACGTGCTGTAATCTCAGTACTCTGGAAGCAGAGGCAGGAGGTTCACAAGTTTGAGTTTCAGGCCTGTCTAAAACCCCTGGCCAAATCCAACCTCACTTCCACTTTAGGTCAAGCACTCACTGGCCCGGGTGGCTCCCCCCCCACTGCCTCCCCCCCACTGCCTCCCCCCACACCACCGTCCCCCACACCGGCCTCCCCCACACTGCCCCCCCCACACTGCCTCCCTCCACACAGCCCTCCCCCACACTGCCCCCCCACACTGCCTCCCTCCACACTGCCTCCCCCCACACAGCCCTCCCCCCCCACACTGCCTCCCCCCACACTGCCTCCCCCCACACTGCCCTCCCCCCCCACAGCCTCCCCCCACACTGCCTCCCCCACACTGCCTCCCCCACACTGCCTCCCCCCACACTGCCCTCCCCCCCACAGCCTCCCCCCACACTGCCTCCCCCACACTGCCTCCCCCACACTGCCTCCCCCCACACTGCCCTCCCCCCCACAGCCTCCCCCCACACTGCCTCCCCCACACTGCCTCCCCCACACTGCCTCCCCCCCACACTGCCCTCCCCCCCACAGCCTCCCCCCACACTGCCTCCCTCCACACTGCCTCCCCCACACTGCCTCCCCCCACACTGCCTCCCCCCACACTGCCCCCTCAGCAGACTGTTGGGAGTTGCAGGTAAGCCTGGACCAGTGGAGCTGCTCACAGCTGCCCCTCCTACCTCTGTGCACACACCAGGCTGTCCTTGAACTCCTGTGAAGATGTCTCTAAGACCCCATCCCCATCCCCACACACTAACACCCTAACCCAGCCTTCAGCTTGCACCCTCTGAGGGTGAGGAACATAGCAGGCAGTGGAGAGTCTGGGTTGCCATGAACAAGCCCTGTGACTTCAGAAGAGTTCCAAGTTCCCAGTGTTCACACACACACACACACACACACACACACACACACACACACACACGCATGCACGCACGCACGCACGCGCACACACACACACACTCTTCCTAGGGAAGGTGTGGGGTCTGAGGTTCTCTGGGGTCCCTTCCAAACTGTTCCAAGCCCTGTTTAGCAGGCAGTCCAGAGGAAGAGAGAAGCTGCCTTGAGGGCTCTAATAACTTAAAACTTTATTAGGAACAAAAGCAGTCAAGCCAGAAGCAATGTCCTGAAGTCACATGAGAAGAGGCAGAGAGCCCTGAGCCTCGGCAGGGCTAAGTTAAGGCTGGAGGTGAGGTTGGGACTCCAGGCCTGACTCCATCCTTTACTGTCCCAGGCAGAGAGGCCAGAAATAACCACACCCCTCAAGTAACCTACAGAGGAGTAGAGTGAGGCTCAACCCAAGACAGCAGTCCAGACACGATGGGGAAAGATTGCTGAAACCCCCAAATAAATGGCCTCTTTCCTGGAAGCATGTCCAGTCACAGAGCTGGGCCCTGCAGCACCATCCCTGTGATAGGCACAGCTGAGCCCCACTGTGGGGGAGGGCTGAGGAGCCTCAGGGCTGGAGCTCTCTTTTCCACTTCTGCAGCCTCTCATCCATGGCCTGGAGTGTGGCCTCATCCTGCAAGACACACAGTGAGCCTTCTCTCCCCCCTCCCTGGTGGCTAGCCAGGCCCGTCGAGGTTCTCCCAGCCTTTTCTCACCTTCACAAAACAGAAGCGGATGTAGTGGTCAAAGTCCTTCTGATGGGGTTGACTGAAGAAGATGGAGACAGGGATGGCCACCAGGCCCTGGGGAGGAGGAAGCCCATGTGTGCATATAGCCTTGAGACCCAAGACATCAGCTCAGGGGACAGAGTAAAGGCTCAGTGTGTCCCCCCACCTGCTGTGATGGTCAGGAGAGAAGCCCCAGGGCATTCTGCTAGGTTCCTCCCGGGGTGCAGAGAAAGAGAGGGACTGTGCAGCACTCTGGGGGAAAGCTAAGTTTGAACCTCAGTAGTCTGAGCAGGTGATGAGAGCAAATGGACTAGACCCTCCCTTACTGTACAGGAGAGACAGCCAGGCTCAGAGAAGGGCAGGGACTCCTGGGGCCTGCACGGCTTCTTTGTGCAAGTGAAAAGGACTGTGCAATCCGCCTTGCATCAGGAGTCATGGAAAAGGTCCGCTGACTGGACACCCTTGACCAGGGCACAGCCTGGGCAACTCCACCGACTGGCCCCGACAAGAGGCCCAGCCTACCTTGTTTTTGATCATCCACTTGGCAAAGCGTCTGTCGTAGGGCTCATCCACAGCCCCAGGCAGGTCGGGCATCTTGCTCTCTGCGGCAACAGAAGAGGTCATGCTGAGTCCTAGCCAACTTTGGTACCTCCCCAAATCCCGAGTGGCATGGCCAGTGCCTCACTGAAGTCTGAGATGTCTGCAATGAGGAAGTAGCTGCCCTGGGAGATCAAGGGCTTGAGGCCCACCAACTGCAGGCTACGGATCATGTGGTCTCTGGTCAGCTGCATGGCCTGTGGGAGCTGCAGGAAGTAACTGCTGGGTTGTCCGAAGTGTTCCTGCTCCCGCTCAAAGCACCGGGCGACGGCGGCCTGGACAGGGCAGATGGAAGGACAGGTCAGCCGTGACCTGTCTAGGGGCTTTCACTGCCCGTCTCGCTGTCGCGTACCCTCACCGTGCCTTTTCCTCCCCTCCTCACCTGGCCCTGGGTGGGACAATGGAAAACAGAGTTCTGATGCACAGTCCGAAGGTGTTTCATGATGTTATCTGGACCCAAAACCCAGCCCACCTAGACCAGAACACAGTCAGTGAGGGCCTCGGGGCCAGAGGTGGCCTTTCTTAATCCTCCCACACCGTCACCTGCCAAGTGACCACACTTACCTTCCAGCCGGTGGCACTGAAGCTCTTGCCTGCGCTGCCAATGGTCAGGGTCCGTCCCCACATGCCAGGGAGGCTGGCTGCCCACGGCCAAGAAGAACAAATGCTGAAATGGGGAAGGTGGAGGGAGGGGACCCAGGGGCAAGCCTCTCAACTGAGGACTGGTACCCTCTAAGCTGCTGCCAGGACCCATTCCATTTCCTGCTCCTCACAGCCTCAGGAAGCAGATGCTACCGAACTCCTCAGACCTCAGGAGGGGAAGTCCCTGCCCATGGTCACACCAGTGCACAGTTCCACAGCCCTGGGTCCTGACCCCCAGGCCTAGGCTGCTCCCAGCTTGGGCTCAAGCCCTGCTCAAGTGTCCAGGGGAAGCTGCGGCAGGCCCAGCTCACCGATGCTGATGTGCTGGTGCCCATCGTAGACCAGCCACTGGTAGACCTCGTCAGAGATGCACAGGACATCATGCTGCTGGCACAGGTCGGCCACCAGCTCCAGCTCCGTCTTAGAGAACACCTGTGGGATCCAAGGTCACGGGTGTGCAGCTGGGACTGTCCCCAAGTGCAGAGCCTGCTCAGAGGTAGAGTACAAGACCATACCAGGTCCTAAGGCTTCTCTGGACCACCCCTTTGACCAGCTCTGCAATACTGACCCTGTGGGATTGGTCTGGATCCCACTGTACAGAGAGGTAAAGTCACTGTTCCAAAACCACCAGAAAGTGGTGAGGCATTCAGCCCATGCACCTAGCACCTCAGGGAGGGTTGGGTTTAAGGCATACAGCCCTCCCACTTCACACGAGGAAATAAAGCCTGAGGGAGCTTATGCTCACGATCAGAAGGGAAACAGCTTGCAGAAGTCTCTGAATGCACCCCCTGGTACCTTTCCCAGAGGGTTGTTGGGTGTGTTGAGGACCAGGGCCTTGGTACGAGGTGTGAACTTGCTGGCCAGTTCTGTGGGGTCCAGTTGCCAGTCATTGGTGGATTCCAATTGTCCCTTAGGAGCAGGGCTCTGCAAACGGAGGTGGGAAAGGCAACAGTATTTACTTTCCTGACAGCAACTCACGTCCACATGCATCTGCCTCCATCTCTCTCCTTTCTGCTCTGGACTCCACCTCCACACCTTCCCAGCCTTATCCCATGCCCTAGGATCTAGCCCAGGTCAGATCTTGGGTCCCTCAACCACCCATAACCATCCAGCATCCCTTACCAGCCTTGGCCAACCCATAACCACGCAGCATTCCTTACCGGCCTCAGGGACACAAACACAGGCCGACCTCCAGCCATCAGTGTCATGGGTTCATAACAATCAAAAGCAGGTTCTATGATGATGACCTGGTTCAAGGGTCAGATTAGCAGGGGTCAGCACTGCCCTGAGCTAGCTCATCCCACCCCATTCAAGTTTCACCTCTCACCTCATCTCCTTCGTCCACCAGGGCCTGGAAGGCTGTGAACAAGGCCCCATAGGCACCCACTGTCACCAGCACATTCTTGAGTGGGTCCAACTCCTGTCCCAGCAGCTTGCCAAAGAAACTTGCCAGGATCTTTGTCAGTGGTGGGTAACCCTGCCAGGACAGCAGGGTCAGGCACCCAGGATCAGCCTAGTCTCCTTCAGCTCAGCTGCACCCAGGTTATCAAGAACTTTCTAGCAAAGTCAGCTTTCTTGGGCTAAATTGTTATATCTCCTCCAGCAGCCTTGGTCATGGAGTCTGACCCAGAGCTGGGATGTGGGGAGAACCTGACATTGTTTTTTTCTTCATCTGTAGTACAGTGGAACCATGGGGTAGCAGAAACCTCACACTTCTCTGTGTGTTTAAAAGGTACATTTGTGCTAACCTGACCCACACCCCTAGCAGCCCTGGAGCCTCAGATTATTTATTTGGATGCATTACAAAATAGAATCCCTGAGAAACAAAGGTTATAGAACATGAGGTTCAGGAATAACATTTTTTCCTTTAAAAAAATTGCTAGGTGCCGGGCATGGTGGCACACACCTTTAATCCCAGCACTCAGGAGGCAGAGCCAGGTGGATCTCTGTAAGTTTGAGGCCAGCCTGGTCTACAGAGTGAGTTCCAGGAAAAGCTCTAAAGCTACACAGAGAAACCCTGTCTCAAAAAAAAAAAATCTTAAAAAAAAAAGAAATGGCCAGGCAATGGTGGCGCATGCTTTAATCCCAACCCTTGAGAAGCAGAGGCAGACTGTTCTCTGTGAGTTTGAGGCCAGCCTGATTTACAAAGCAAGTTCCAGGACAGCCAAGGCTGTTAACAGGAGAAACCCTGTCCCAAACAAAACAAAAAATTTGCCAGGTGGTAGTGGTGGCACACGCCTTTAATCCCAGCACTCGGGAGGTAGAGCTAGGCAGATCTTCGTGAGTTTGAGGCCAGCCTGGTCTATACAGTGAGTTCCAGGGCAGCAAGGACTACACAAAGAGACGCTGCCTCAAAGAAAAATTATTGTGTGTGTGTGTGCCCATGTGTATCATAGGAGGTCAGTGGACATATGGAGGTCAGAGGACATTTAATTGGCTCTCTCCTTCTTATCCTTTTTATATTATTTTATTCTCTCTTTAAGATTTTATCTTATTATTTATAAACTATTTTTTCTATGATTGTCTATACCCATTTTCTTTTCTTTTTTAAGCTTATGCACATTTTTAAACACACTGTAACCTGTTTTGAGTTTTTTTCTATCTGGATCTGTCTTTACCAAGCCAGATGTTGGGTGCAATGTTTTCTTTGGGCTTTCTTTGCCAGCTTACAATCACAATTAATGACATGGAGACTTATTATTAATTATAAAAGCTCGGCCTTAGCTTAGGCTTGTTCCTAACTAGTTCTTATAACTTGAATTAACCCACATTTTTAATCTACATTCTTCCACATACTCATTACCTCATCTCCATTTTGCCCATCCTGCTTCCCCTGGATCTGGCTGGCAACTCCTCCTTTCTCTCACCCAGAGCTCTCTTTCCCTAGAAGTCCCACCTGACCCTTTCCTGCTAGCTAATGGCCATTCAGCTCTTTATTAAACCAGTCACAATGACTCAGTGGTTAAGAGCATATCTTGCTCTTTCAGAGGACCTGGGTTCAATTCCCAGCACCCATATAAAGCAGCTCACAACCACCTGTAACTCCAGTTCCAGGGTTTTTTTCTACCACCCCTGACCTTCCAGAGCACCTGCATTCATGTGCATATACCCACATACAGATACACACATAATTAAAAATAACAAAAATAGCACCGGGCGGTGGTGGCACACACCTTTAATCCCAGCACGCGGGAGACAGAGGCAGGCTGAGGCAGACGGATCTCTGTGAGTTCGAGGCCAGTCTGGGCTACAGAGTGAGTTCTAGGAAAGGCACAAAGCTATACAGAGAAACCCTGTCTCAAAAAAACAAAAAACAACAAAACAAAAAAAACCCAAAAAACAAAAAACAGGCAGTGGTGGTGGCCCACACCTTTAATCCCAGAACTTGGGAGACAGAAGCAGGCAGATTTCTGTGAGTCAGAGGCAGTCTGTTGCAGAATATTTGTTTAACTATGCAAATATGTGTTGCATTTGTTTAATTATGTGAAGATGTGTTGCTGTTTTACCTTGCCTGCCTAAGGCACCTGATTGGTCTACTAAAAAGCTGAATGGCCAATAGTGAGAGAGGAGGCATAGGTGGGACTTCCTGGCAGGGAGATTAAACAGGAGGAGGAATTTAGGCTCAAGGAAGAAAGAGAGACATCGGGGGCCAGCCAGCCAGAAACAGAGGAAGCAGGAAGAGTCGGACAGACAGAATGAAAGAAAGGTAAAAAGCCCTGGGACAGAAAAAGTAAAGTTAAAAGAGCTAATGGGAGAAGCCTAAGCTAAGGCCCAGAATTCATGATTAATAATTCTCCATGTCTTTATTTGGGAACTGGTTGGTGGCCCAAAGAAAAATACAACTATATCAGCCTGGTCTACAGAGTGCGTCCAGGACAGCCAGGGCTACACAGAGAAACCCTGTCTCGAAACTCCCTCCCCCCCTCAAAAGGCTAATTCTAGTCCAATGTTGGCAATTATATATTGTGTGGCCCTTACAGAGCAGCTGGGAGTTAGTCTAATGCAATCAACAGCCTCTCTCTCAGGGGTTGGCTGAGGTATCATCTCCTCCTAGAAGCTTCCCCTCCCACTACCATGATCCACTTCCTCCTTCCTCCCAGGCTGGACCAGATGTTTTGACCATGAAGGGTTCCCGATCTGCCTTCTGCACTGGGACCTGAGGTACAGGACACAGGAGACTCTCAGTAATGGAGAATGCTGAACTCAACCTACTGGGTTGCACCCCATGAGCCTTGTCACCTATGTGGTGTTGGTGCCTGTCCTTCAGGACCTTCAGGAGATGCGGGAGACTCACAAATGCCATGGTGTACTGGTTCAGCATGAAGTCCCCACTGACGGCCTGCTGAAAAGCTTGCACAGCGAAGTCCGGAGGTGGGAAGTCGGGGAAGCCCTGACCCAAGTTCACGACATCATACTCTTTGGCCAGTCTGACAAACTCCACCCTGGCAACAAAGAGAGAGTGAGCCCCGGGCCGCCGCCCAGGAGTGTTTCTGCCTGTCTGCAGGGCAGGGTGGACATGCATGAGACCACGCTAGAAAGACAGGTAACATATCTCTCCCCCCACCTGGGTGGGCCCCATATTTTAAGGTGGTCAGGCCCTGTACCAATTATATGGCTCAACCCAGGAGACTTCCAATTTTGGCCATGCCATGGTAAGAAACATTTACATCCAAAACCATGTGACTGGCAAGTAGGAGACTCCTGCTACAGCCTCTCCATCTTACCCTCTCACTCTGTCTTTCCTTCCCCACTGTGCTGGACAGCAAGCTAGGCAAAGCTCCACCCCTGAGCCACACCCTCGATGCCATGCTGCCTTATACTTTAGAGGCACCTATTGAATGGGATGTGGTGATGTATTACTCAGAGGCCAAAAAAGGGATTTCCTAACCTGTAGTGTATCTGTCCCCGGCAATGTGAAACACTTGGCTCACATCACCTCCTGGTGGCCTGTGTGACTCACTGTGCTCTGGGTCACTCCGAGGACACAGAGCTGAGTGCCAGGCAGTGCCAACCTGCTCCTTTGTATCTTGGCAATGGCCTTCATAATAAGCCGGTGAGGTCAGTAGAGCACATTCGCACATTCTCTGAGACCTTGCACTGTTCTGCTGAATTAAATGACCCTAGGAGGCTGTCAAGGGGATCAGGAAGTGTGTGTGTGTGTGTGTGTGTGTGTGTGTGTGTGTGTGTGTAGAGGTGTACATGTGAAGGTCAGAGGACAAACTTGGGTGTCACCTCTCCAGCCCCTTCCACCTTTTTGTTTGCGGCAAGGCATCTCATTGGTCTGGAATTCTACCATGTGAACTAGAGAGCTTCCAGGGATCCACCTGTGTTGTGGAATATTATTTTAACTAGACAAAGGTGTGTTACATTTGTTTATGCTGCAAAATATTACTTTAACTGTGTAAAGGTGTGTTACATTTGTTTGTGCTGCATTTGTTTAATTACGTAAAGATGTGTTGCTGTTTCGCCTTGCCTGTCTAAGGCCCCTGATTGATCTAATAAAAAGCTGAACGGCCAATAGCTAGGCAGGAGAGGGATAGGCGGGGCTGCTGAGCAGAGAGAATGAATAGAAGAAAAGAGGAAGCGAAGAGAAGAACAAGAAGAGGAGAGAAGAAGGGACATGCCCGGGACTAAAGCCAGGCAGCCGCTAGGCAGCCAGTCATGGAGAAGTAAGATATACAGAAGAAGGGTAACGAGCCCCGAGGCAAAAGGTAGATAAACAGGTTAAGTTAAAAGAGCTAGCCAGAAATGTGTCTAAGTTAGGCCAAGCATTCAAAACTAATAAGTCTGTCATGGTTTGAGAGCTGGTTGGTGGCCCAAAAGAAAAAGACTGATACACACCTGTCTCTGCTTCCCCAGTGCCAGGATTACAGATGTGCCACAACTCAGGCCCTCATGCTGGAGAGGTCGTCACTCTCCTGAATAGGCCATCTTACCAGCCCCTAAACTAACAGCCAAATAGTCACAAGCACAGACTACAATGTGTGTCTGGGATTGGATCTGTAGTGGACAGTACTGTGTGTGAACCCAGGTGTGGACCATGGCAGGACCATGGACAGAACACATCAGCTGTACTTGGTAAGGGGATCTAACTGTGTCTGTTGGAGAATCAGCTATATCACTGCTTGGTGTGTGGCCCCCAGAGTTTGGGGGAGATTCAGCTATATCACTGCTTGGTGTGTGGCCCCCAGAGTTTGGGGGAGATTCAGCTATATCACTGCTTGGTGTGTGGCCCCCAGAGTGTCTCTGTGACTGTCTTTTCTTGCGGTCTTGCAGGGCAGGACTTCATTTAACTACAGCTGAGCTGTGGTGCCTGCCCAGCCACTTAAAAGACACACGGTCTAGTATGACCCTGAAGGACAGCAAGGCTTGGGAGGACCCCCAGGCTTGGCTCCCCGGTTCCCAGCCACAGGGCATCTAAGAAACTGTAAAATACAAACGCTGCCCGTAAAGGAAGTCTAAAGGAAAGGTGGTCCCCACTTCTTCTAAAACCAAAATCCAAAACATTTTTCCCCTTGAGATGGCATCTATCTCTGCAGCCCATGCTAGCCTAGAACTCACTATGAAGCCTAGGTTGGCACCAAATTCACCATCCTCCTGCCTCTGCCTCTTGAGTGCTGGGATTACAGGCATATGCCACCATATCTGACCAATTATTTATTTAAATGTTTTTAATCTTTTAAAATATTTATGTGTATTCAATATTTAAATTTATGTGAATTTTTAAAAAATAAATAATATTTAATTTATGTGAACACAAGCACATGGGTGCCAGGAGTCCAGAAGAGGGTGTCAGATGTCCTGGAGTTGGCGTCGTAGGCAGCGGTGAGCCACCCAATGTGGTTGCTGGGAACCACACTCCTTTACGAGAGCGCTAAGTGCTCTTAACCACGGAGCCACTTCTCTGGCCCCTTGTTTGGTTTTGAAAAAGAGTTCCACTGTGTAATCAAGGCTGATCTGAAACCCTCATGGTAGATTCCAAACTCATGGAGATCCACATGCCTCTGCCTCTGGACTGCTGGGTACAGTCATGAGCTACCGTATGTGCCTTTGTCTTTTGAGCTTTGGGTGTTGACTTGCACCCTGGCTGACCTGGAACTCTGTAGCCTAGGCTGACCTCAAGTTTGTGGTGATTCACTTGCCTCTGCCTCCAGAGCATGAGGGTTACAGCACGTGCCTCCATACCCAGCATTTCCCCCCAAAATCAAGGTTCCATTGTTGCTCAGGGACCTGGAACTCCTCGGTTCAGGTGACCCCAGAGCCTCTCCAGTAGCTGGGAGGGTCAAGTGTGTGCTTCTGCACTATGATGGTTATTCTTGGTTGTCAACTTGACTACATCTGGAATTAACCAAAACCCAAGTGGCTGGGCACACCTGTGAGGGGTTTTTCCTTAATTACATCATTTGAATTGGGAAGACCCACTTTTAATCTAGATCTTTTGAGGCTGGAAGAGCCACCCTTAATCTGGGCCACACCTTCTGCTGGCCGCCTGTGAAAGGACGTGGAGGGGAGCTTTTGCTCCTTGCCTGCTTGTTCTTGCTCCACTGGTGAGTCCTTTCCCTCACTGCATTACAGCCTACCTCTCTGGGATTTGGCGTGACTGAAGACATCCAGCCTTATGAACTCAAAGACTACTGGGTTCTTAGACTTTCAGTTGGTAGACAGCATTGTTGGTTAGCTGAACCACAGCCTGTAAGCCATTCTAATAAATTCCGTGTGTGTGTGTGTGTGTGTGTGTGTGTGTGTGTGTGTGTGTGTGTGTGTGTGTAGAGAGCTCTCTGACACACCTCTGTAACTTTTTCAAGTATACAGATCTGTCGATGCACCTGGCTTAATGTACAGAAATGGCGAAGGGAAAAATGATTAACTCCTTTGAACACACTTCCCGCTATATTTACTGTAACACTAATAACAATGTACACAGACAATCCTTCCATCTCCCAAGTGTTAGAGCACTAAGCATGGAGCCCTGGGTCCCAGCCCTAGCACTGAGGGGGAAATACTGGCTTGCATCATACTTTCTTCTTTTTTTCTGTCATCATGTGTATGTGTGTGGTATGCATATGTGTACATGCATGTCTGCACATGTGGGCACATGTGTGTGAATACATGTGTGTGTGAGGTGGAGGAGTAAGATTGAAGTTGAGCATCATTCTCCATTGTTCTTCCAAAATGAGACAGGGCCTCTCAGTAAACCTAGAGCTTGCCCATATGGCTAGTCTTGCTAGCCAGTTTGCTCTGGGGATCCCTTGTCTCTGTCTTTCCAGGCAGGAATTACAGACAGGGAGCCATGTTTACCAGGCTTTTACATGGGTTCTGGGGATCTGAACCCTGGTCCTCACACTTGTATGGCAAGCACCTAACCACTGAGCCATCTCCCCAGCCTCTGTATCTTTCTTTCTTAGCTTATCTCATTTCAAAGCACCTATGAAATAAAATGAAGGCCGACCCTTAGTGTTTGCAGAGAAATGGGTTTCAGACGCCCTCCATCCAGGATATCCAAACTGGCCCAATATCATAGCATTTGTGTGTGATCTGAGCCCTCTCCCCACATCCTTTTCTCTTTCCCCCTTGCTGGGCATGAAACCCAGAGCCTTGAACACGCTATGCAGGCACTGGTGCATTGAGGTACATCCCAGACCTTCCCACACACCTCATCTCCAGATGACCAATTTCCAGTCACTGTGTGTGTCATGGAAACAGCTGCTACACTGTATCGCTCAGTGACTGAGGACAAGAACTGTCTTTATATGTAAAGGCATTCTTCCTTTTCTCTCTGTGTGTACAGCATGTGTGTGTTTTTGGTTTACTTACCCATGAACATGCATATAGAACCCAGAGGAGCTGGGCAAGTGTCTTGATCTATGCCTCTCTCCTTATTCCCTTGAGATAAGACCTCTCACTGAACCTGGAGTTAGGGTGCTGAAGAGCAAGTGCCAGCAATCCTCCTGTCTCTGTTCTAGCGGCACTAGGGTTACAAACAGGCATGGCTGTGCCCAGCTTTGTGAAAATGTGAGTGCTAGGATCTAAATCCAGGCACTCTAGCATAGGCCACAGACACTTACGCCTGCTGAACCATCTCTCTAGTCACATGGAAGCATTTTTTGAAAAATGCTTTTGGTCTCCAATTGGTTGAATCCCCAGATGTGTGGAAGCCATAGGTATGGAGCAGAGGATCAGTTACCACCTGTGGGAGCCATGGCCTGCTGCCTGATTTGAGGCTGTTGCTAGTCCACAAGGTCCTTCAGGGAGGTAAAATCATCTCCATTTTGAACCAATGCGTCTCCCGCTCAGCACCACAGCCAAGCAGGGGGATGCTGAGACCTATGGCTGGTCTGCTACCTTGGGTCTTGCCTCTCCTGTGCTGTGGCTGTCACTACCCATCCTGGCTACACTGAGTTACTACAAATCCGGGATGGTAAGCCCATGGGAGAAGGGACACCCGGACACCTCCCAACCCGTCAGCTCACCAGGGGTTGTGATCAATCCCATTCAGCCTTCGAGCCGGCAGCTGTTTGGCCATGGTGAGCTGGGTACAGAGAAGGGAAGTCCAATGTGAGAATCGTGTGGAGTGTGAGCAACCCCACCGTGGCTTTATGGTCACAACCCCGCCCTCCGCTCTCCTGGCATGGGTGGAGACCCAGGCTCAGGTAGCCAGATTGGCTGGAACCTGCTCTCCCAGACTACTCTTGCTGACTTCCGGCCGGGCTCTATCACCCTTTCATCTTCTCCCACACACTGACAGGGGGCTGTGAGGGTGGAGTGCACCAGTGCTGACTCTGTGTGTCCTGAGATACAGCCCTGACAGCCAGGTTACAGGTGATTCCAGAGGGCTGAGGAAGAGGAACGTGAGGAGGGGAGAAAGGTGGTACCAGGAGTAATGGTCACTTGCGTTGGCAAAGGGCATCCTAGTATACATACACTTAGGATGACCTGGCTGGTTCCTAGCGCAGACGAGAGCTTGGAGTGGGCATGTGGGTAGTGTACTCACGGTCACACAGCAAACTGACTGAGACTCAGGGCTGCTGACTCCAGGCTAACTGTGGACTCTGGTGAGAGGGTTGCTCACTTAGGCCCAGGAGGGAGCCATGCTAGGTGACTCCCACGCTTGGAGGCCACCTGCTGTGGCTAGTCGGAAATCATGCTTGTGGGTCGAGATCTGCTAAGTTCCCATAGCAACCACCAGAGGTGGTAAGCTCATCTGCACACAGCACATGAAGACATGAGGCACACAGAGGCTCAGAGGAGAAGCTACTGCGGATCCTGTCACAGTGGTTGTGGCAATAATCTTGGCACCAGGCCCTGCCCTGGAGAAGCCTTAGGTCACGTGTGGTGTGTAAGACTTCTCGGCAGCCTGACTGGCATGGGAACAAGTTGGGGCCTGGCACACAGCATCTTTGCCAGCCCTTTGCCCTGCCCCTCCACTGACTCCTGGAGGGCGTCACTGGGCTAGCACCCAGTGTCGACCACCAAGCTTACAAGAGGATGGCCCTGAGGAGACCACCTCAGTATAATCAAAATGTCAGGGGCGATTTTCTTTGGTATGTTGGTTAGCAGATAATTGAATTTGAATTTTTCTTCTTTACAATTATTTTTCAGTTTGTTTATTTTTGTTTTTTTGAGACAAAGTCTCACTATGTAGCCCAGGCTACCCTAGAACTCTTAATGTAGACAGGGCTAGCTTTGAACTCAGAGGCCCACCTGCTTCTGCCTCCCATTTTTTTTTATTTTTTATTTTTTGTTTTGTTTTTCAAGACAGGGTTTCTCTGTGCAGCCCTGGCTGTCCTAGAACTCACTCTGTAGACCAGGCTGACCTCGAACTCACAGAGATCTGCCTGCCTCTGCCTCTGAGTGCTGGGTTTAAAGGCGTATGCATCACAGCCTGGCATATTTTTCAAATTTTATAAAACAAATTTTCTTTTCTTTTTTTTTTTCTTTCTTTTTTTTTTTTTTTTTTAGACAGAATTCTTACTCTATAGTCCAGGCTGGCTCTTGTGGTAATTCTCCTGCCTCAGTCTCCCAAATCCTGGGATTACAGGTATGAGCCATCAAGCTTGGCTAAATATTTTATTTTTCATAATGCTATTGTGTTTTGAGACAGGGTCTTTCTTTGTAGTTCTGGCTGGCCTGGAATTTGGAATGAAGTACATGCTGGCCTTGAACTCACAGCAATCCTCCAGCCTCACCTCCCAAGTGCTGGAATTATAGATGTGAATCACTATGTCCAGCTAAATAGCTTATTTTTATGATTGAAAAATGTTGGAGACAATCATAATCTAGAAGAATGTTAGTGATACAATATACCAATATCAATAAAACAGTCTGCAAAACAGGGTGTACTAAGTATTACAGTATTTTTTAAATACCTGAGGGCAGGGGCTGGAGCCCAGGGGATAGGGTGCTTGCCCACCCCCACAGGAAGCCCTGGATTTGTTCTCCAACACTTCACAACCAGGCATGGTGACTTGGACCTGTCATCCCAGCACATAAGAGGTGGAAGTAGGGGATCAGAAGGTCACTCATAGCAACATAGTGAGTTTGAGGCTAGCCTGTGCCACATGACACCATGTCTTTAAAAAAATAATAAATAACAGGACAGCACCAAAACTACACAGAGAAACCCTGTCTCGAAAAACAAACAAACAAATAAATAAATAAATAAATAAAAATCCCCTAATATGCATGTATCTGTGCAGGCATGTTCAGTTCTATGATCACACATGCGTAGGAAGGGAGCTGTAGGAAAGGAGTCACCGAGGTGCTCACAGAGCCTCTTTCCCATGGGGGCTGTGACTCTGCCTCCAGCTCGCTCTCTTTGCTTTTCTACTTCCCAGTTTATGTTTGGTTTTCTGATTTGTACAGAGATCACTTTATTTGATTGATTGGGTTTTAGAGTTTTTTGTTTTGTTTGGTTTTGTTTTTGAGACAGAGTTTCTCTGTGTAGCCCTGGCTGTCCTGGAACTCGATTTGGAGACCAGGCTGGTCTGGAACTCACAGAGATCCACCTGCCTCTGCCTCCCAAGTGCTGGGATTAAAGGTGTGCACCACCACACCTGGCTTAGTATTTTTTAAATCATAGTTTATTCACTTTGTGGGGGGTACACATGCCTGTCACAGCAGGTGTGTGGAAGGCAGAGGACAACTTGCAGGAATCTTCTCAGTTCCTACTGTGTGAACCCCAGGCACCAAACTCAAGTCATCAGGACTGGTGGCAGGTACCTGCAGCTGATGAGCCACCTCTCAGGCCTTGACTTTCACTTCTGGCTCTTTTTTGGTTTTTGACTGATTCTAACAATTGCATACTTCACACCATATCTTTTCTGAATTTGAGCCTGTCCATAACTCACAGCTCCAGCTTATCATCATTTCCCAAATTCATCCCTCTAGCAGCAGAACCTCTCCCTGTTGACAACGGCATGAAGCCAAGTGTGTGGACTGACCATTGGACTGGGGGTGGAGGGGGGGGGGGGGGATATGAATGAATGAGATGACTGAATGAAGGTGGCCTGCCAGTGGGACTGTTGAGGGGCAGGCTAGCATGAGGGAAGGGAGGTTGTGGTGGAGGTGTGGAAGGTGCAGGGCACAAGGGCACAAACTTATAGATGAACAGAAATGAGTGGAGTCAAATGGGTTTGAGAAGGAGAGAGATAATCGGAACTCCACAAACTTGGAGGACTCAAGAGGATGCCCTTGCAAATGGCAGTCAGTACTTGGATAAATCAGAGAATGGTGGTGTTCTTGAGCTGTGCATAACACAATCAGCCAACCAAGATGTACTGTGCAGCCACTGTGTACTATCAGCTGGGCTGGGACCATGGGTGGGCGGGCTGCAGCCGACAAACCGAGTATCCATGCAGGGCTGAGTTCCAGATAAGAGAAGCAGGCCCAAGGGAGGTGACAGCACAGCTTGCCTGGGAAGGCTTCTGGAAGAGCAGGCTCATGCATAGCTTTAGAGGCAGGACCCAGCCAGATCCCAGGGACCCCAGGGCCATGCATGTGGTAGAGGACCATGCATGTGGTAGAGAGGGCCATGCATGTGGTAGAGAGGGCCATGCATGTGGTAGAGGGCCATGCAGGACACTTACAGTCTGGTGCAAACACCGGGTGAGTGAGGCTCCAGCCTTCCTTCCCCAGAGCGGCCACACCAGGTGCACTGAGATGGCTGCTGAGCTCCTGAACATGCCTCCCAGATCCACAGGCACTGTAGACTTCCCCTCCAGGGGTAGAGGAGAAGGGCAGACAGCCTAGGCCAGAAAATGGCTCCAGGCTAGGGACTTGAGTCCCACACACAGGTCAAACAACAACAATAAAGTGTCACTGTGCACCAGGCTGGTGCCAGGTGCTTTACTGCCTGACTCTTCCCCTTAGTCACCTCAACCACACACAGTGATCCTTTAAAATTCAAATCGCCTCCAAGGGCAAAGCGACCCAGGTGACAGTCACTGACAGGTTAACAACACAGAGCATCAACCCAGACTCAGTTTAATTCCAGTTCTGGAAACACACACACACACACACACACACACACATGCCTACCATTCCTCCTACCACAGTGAACCTAACCCACCAATGGATTGCTACACGAGACTGAAGAACCTGGTAAGTGATACCACAGAGCTACAACTCACAAACCCAAACTGACAAACTATATAGCAAGCACCTCCACTTCTTCCATAAATAAAATGTAAAGAAAAAGAAAGGCTGGGGGGCAGCTATGTGGTGGTGCATGTCTATAGCCCCAGCACTTGAGAGGCAGAGACAGGAGGATCACCAAGTGCTAGGCCAGCTTGAGCTGTAGAATAAGATCTGTCTAAAATAAATAAAAGTAAAAAACAAAACAAAAAACCTTAAACCTTAAACCACCAGCAAACATAAAACCTAACAGACAGCTCTGAAAAGGTTAGCTATGTCACAGCACACAATTTCAAAGCTCACTACAGAGCAGAGCTGAAAGGATCAAAAAATACAATAACAGTAATAAAGTGAGAGGGGACTGGCTGAAGGACAGGCATGCAGAGCATTGCATCGGAACCAACAATTCCCAAATCGACTCTCATGTTTATGGGTGATTGTTCCTAGAGAGGCCAAGACCATTCAATGGGCAAAGACGCAATCTTCAACGAATGCTGCTGGATCAACTGGACATTAACACTAGCCCGAAATGACGCCCAAGTTCACCCTCAGGCAAAAGGTGTTTACTCAGTCTGTTAATGAGCTGCAATACCAGGAGACAAGGGCCCCGGAGCAATTGGCCTGTGTTCTGAGCACTGGAGGAAAGGGCAGGATTTTAAAAGGCAAAACACTGAGCCAAAGCCAGGCAGTGGTGGCACATGCCTTTAGTCCTAGCACTCAGGAGGAAGAGCCAGGCGGCTGGATCTCTATGAGTTCGAGGCCAGCCTGGTCTACAGAGCGAGTTCCAGGGCAGCCAGGGCTACACAGAGAAACCCTGTCTTGAAAAACAAAACTGAGCCAGATGTGCTGGCATGGGCATATAATCACAGAACATGGGGAGGAAGAGGCAGAGGGATTGACACAATTAGGAGTCCACCCTGTCTACATAGCAAGCTTCAGGCCAGCCAGTACTATAACATAGTAAGAGCCTGTCTCACACACACACACACACACACACACACACACACACACACACACACACACATGCATGCACACGAGTATGCACGCACATGCTCGCACACATCATCACATTACAAATTGTTTTGCATGTAACTTTGCGCCTTTCCTGGAACTCGCTTTGTAGACCAGGCTGGCCTCGAACTCACAGAGATCAGCCTGCCTCTACCTCCCGAGTGCTGGGATTAAAGGTGTGCGCCACCACCGCCCTGCTTTTGCGTAATTCTTATTGGTGAACTGACACTGTAGTCAGAGACCTACTGGCGATTGCTTGTGAGGCTGTTGCATGGCTGGGCCTGAGAATCTGTGGTCTCCGTGGTTTAGTCCAGGTCACAAATATTTAATGAAGACCATGCAAGGCTCTCTTCCCTCAAAAGCTCCCAGGGTCTATTTGAGGGTGCTGAACAAAAGAATAACCATCTCTGAGATCTCTCTTTACAACAGCTCCAGAGAAAAGAACGAATTTGGAGTGGGCATGGTGTTGGATGCCCGTAATCCCGACACCTGGGAGACTAAGGCAGAACTCTGAAAGTTTGAGGCCAGCCTTGACTTCAAATGTCAGCTTGGACTAAGAGGTGAGACCCAGCCTTGAAGTTAAAAAACAAAAATGAACAAATATACCCTATTTCACACCACATATAAAAATGAACTCAGTATCTCCTAGGAGCAAATGTATGAGCCAAAGTAGCAAAGATCTGAAGCAGGAGGATTGCAAATGTATGTTTCCTGTGTATGAGTATTTTGTCTGCATAGAAGCCCCTGTACCACATGCACACAGTGCCCAGGAGGCCAGAAGAGGCACCGGATCCTCATCCTCTGTAACTGGAGTTACAGACAGTTGTTAGCTCCCAGTTGAGTGCTGGGAACATAACCCCGGTACAAGTTTAGACAGTGCTCTTAACCACTGAGCCATCTCTCCATCCTTGATTGTAAATTTGAAGTCAGCTTGGGCCATACAGTGAGATCCTGCCGAATACAGCTGGGAATACACACATACACACACACATGCACGCACGCACACACGTATACACAGGGGTTCACACACA